GTGTCCATTGAGCAAGAAGGGAGAAAATCAGAGGGTAGGCGGTGAAGTGTCTGGCAGCCACTAGGTGGTAGCATTGGCCTAGGTCAGCATGGTTCCTCAGGTTGATTCCAATAATAAGCCACCCTGGTGCATCTATATGGTTTACCCACAGATTGTTTTATTCATCAGGACAGCTTTTTTTTTTTTAACTGAAACTTTATACTCATGAGTTAGAGGTCTAAGATGCTTAGACCGTAATAAGCTATCATGCTCCTTTACCATTAAATATTTTGGCATGCATCCCCCCACACAAGGACATTTCATAAACACGGTACAATTACCGCACTGAGGAAATTTAGCAGGACAAAGCATTTCTCTAACCGTAATACTTTTAAAATGATCAACATGGAGGTGAGTTGCTTTTAGCTTTCTCTAATGGAAGAGGATGGTTGTTGAGTAAATGAAGTCATCAGGCTTTTTTTCCACCCTCCCACCATTTGCCCCAATGGCTAGTACCTGCAGTCTTGCACACCTCCTGGTTACGGGCACCTGGGCTCATGTGTGTAGGTGTGTGTATGAGTGCGCACACCTGTGGCAAGGACCTGTAAGGGTAGTGTCACCCTCAGATCATGGGGGAGGAGACAGCCAGAGAAATGCCTAAGAGAAAGCTGGTCTGTCCCGTGATTCAGCATTATAGGCCTGTAAAAATCTACCAAAGGCTCCAAAATTATCTTTTCGCCTGCAAAAACCGACAATGAACCTACTCGGCCTGGGATGGTTGCAAAACAGTGGTCATGTTTCTGTCTGTGGGTCACTGGCCTTTGAAAGAACAAAATGCCCCAGATAGAAATGTAGACTCTTGGGAAATAGAGCATCAACTTTTCCCTGTGTTGGGCTTTCCGGGTAGGCAAGGAGCTCTGGGGGGAGGGACAGCAGCAGCAGACGTGTTACCCAAGCCTGATCCCTGAGGGCTGTGGCAGCTCGTGTCTATGTGCTCCTGCTTCTGGTTAATTGAGATTGTAGAGCAGCTTGAAGGTATAGCCCGTACCTATAACAACTACTGTTTAGCTTTAGCAAGCTGTCTTTTTTTAAATAAAGTTTTTTTTAAAAATTTTTATTTATATAATAGCTGGGGTATAGGCCAGAGATGTGGGAGGGTGAGAGGAGTAAGGGACCAGGAAAAAGAATAACTGTAAGAAAGAAAATATCAAAATCAACAAACAACTATGGGGGGTGGGGGTGGGGAAAGGAGGAAATGGGGTCAAAATAAGGGGGTTGTAATTGTATGGGGAATATAAAAATAAAATTTAAATTAAAAAAAGAAAACAAAAACGATGAAAGAGACAGAGCAGGGAGCAGAACAGGCAGACAGACCAAGAGTACTGCTGAGGGGAGCAGCAGGCAAGACAGGAGAGGTCTGTGTGCCATGTGGGAATCTTCCTGGCTGGCCGGGAATCGAACCCTTGCTGCCGAGGCTGCGGACAGCATCACAGCGCTGTGCTCTACCCGCTGCACCACTAGGGAGGCTCTTTAGCAAGCTATCTTTACTAAAAGTAAATACAAATCTTCAGGAATAGGACATTTCTGTGTGTTAGGTATTTGAAGTCAGGATTGCCTGCAAAATCCAGAATCTACAATCAGCACCTGAGGGTATTAGAAGCTTCGCATTGTTACTAACATGCCTTTCACTGAGTACCTAGTACGTGTACTCCAGTGATCACCGTATGTATTGGTCCCCTACTGTGTGCACAGTGAAATGTTACCTCTTTGGGTCACGTGTCTTACAAGTATAATCTTTGATAGTGACTGTATCAAAGTAGAACCTCTACTATACTATGCAAAACAGATTCTAAGGCTGTGCTGTTTTTGATTGTAAAAAAATATGCAGTGCACAAGCTTGGCTCCCAAATTGTAAAATGCATCAGCTACAGCCGTGATCATTTGTGGTTGGAGCGTCCAGTGTATTTCTGTTTGGGTTGTGGCTTTGTTTAGAATTAAGAGGCTTATAAAGGAAGCCATAGAAACCCTGAGTTCCCAAAAGGCTGTGGCACAGGAAACAGGGCAGTTAGAATGCATTGTCCTGACCAGATTGTTTAAGAGATCATTTCAAGACAGTCTGAAAACACCACGTGGTTCAGTTAATGTGGTTAGTCAGCATTAGACAGGCTCGTTTCAAGGTCTGTTTGGGAACATTCGTGGGAAGGACATTTCTGCAATTTTCATGACTACCTGAGTATGAATACATTTATGACATGTCCTCAAGTTTCAATCCCTTATGTAACAGATCGATATGAGGAAGAGAAATTTTGTCTCTTCTGAGTTGCTGGTCAACTTTGTCAGCTGGATACTGGGCGATGCTACTTAACCACGGTTAAGTGACTAAGTCCCACTGGTAACCTCACCCGTGCTGCCATACTTAGCCACATGGATGAAGAAAATCAGTGCCTGTGGTTGGTGCTTCTGCCTGTAACTTTCATTTGCAGACTCCTGAGTGTCTCAGCATGGAACCAGCCCATCCTTTCTCATGTGTCCTCAGGGAATTGCTCAGATTACTCACTTTATTTTCCAAGTCTGACTTTTCCAAGTCAAGTTCCCTGAAGACCAAACCCCTAGTTGCTGGCTGCCTGGCCCTTTTGAGGGCGCCTTGGAGTAAATGGCAGTCTCTGCCACCCCGGGGTGCTTCATCACTGTGGGCAAGGGAGCGGGGCAGGTGACTCTACCTCTTCCTAAGATCCACTCCTGTCAAGGTTCTACTGTATCTTTAAAAGAAAGCAAACTCACCTGAAATTCTTAGGCAAGGAATAAAAGATAAATTTGACATTTCAAAATTAATAGCGCTAAAGCATTATGGAACACATTTGTTGTTTTTTGATAACTTTTGGTATTACTCAGAAAATGCATTTCTGCTTCTGATGACATTTTCATTGGAAAGGGCAAGGTGGAGGTGTGGGGTGGGTGGAATTTTGTAAGAGGCTGAATAAGTTTCCTTCTACTGTCAGTCCCAGGAACTTTTTAAATGATTCGAGATTCCCTATCTACAAGAGTAGAGGACCTACTGCCTGGAGCTCTTTAACTCAGATAAGGACCCAAGTGCATTTCTCTGGCTGTACCTTCTACACAGACTTCATCTCCTCTGTATTTTCGCTTCCAGCTGCTGAGCTGTGCCTCCAGGCTCTGCTGAGGCTTGCTAAGCAGACCAGTTTTGTATCCTTATGAAGTTTAGTATCCAGTGGGAGAAGCAGATACCAAATAACGTATCACCAATTACAAAGGTGAAATTGTGGTGAGCACTGTAGAACAGCACCTTTGATACAATTGAGTGGTTCGGGACACCAGGGAGGGCTTCTTCTGAGGAGATGATGCTTGTGCTGAGCACTCAGGCCTGAATAGGAGTCAGGTTGAAGTGGAGCAATAAGGGTTTTCCATGCGGAAGGAACAGCTTGTGCAAAGACCCAGCTCATAATGCAAAGTTTGCAGCAAATTAAGAAAGAACATTAAATTTCTCTTAAGTCCTTCATTTTTATCTGCTCTTCCATCAACTCATCAGATTTACTCCTCTGTTCCTGCTCATGGCCTGCCACCTGCTTATCTGCATACCTTTTCAATCTCATCTGCCACTCCACAGTTGCATTCACTGGTAAAATAACTTCCCCTTTCCCTGAATATACGTTGGTCAGATTTTAAACTGCCCTCTAGTTCCCTCTTGGTAGGTATATTTTTTAAGTAAAATATTGAAATATACGTACAGAAATGTGTACAAATCATTAAGCGTAGAGCTTGATGAATTTCCAAATTGAGCATGCCAGCATCCTTGGCACCTGGAGGACCCTTCCTCACTGCTCCTGGAGGTAACCACCAGCCTGTCTTCTATTAGCACTAATTTGTTTTGTCTGTTTCTGAACTTTATGTAAATGGCATTGTGCGGTAGGTAATTTATTGTGTCTGGCTACTTTTGCTCAACACTGTGTTAGAGGAATTCATGTTGCATGTAACAGTAGTGCCTTTATTTCCATCACTGTGTGGTTATGTGTGGTAGGGCTGTACCAGTTTATCCTTTCCAGTTTGGGCTGTTAGGAGATTCTTATACTTGCTTTTAGTGAAGGTATATTCTTCTGTAGGTGGAATGACGTCACAGCATATGCAGCTTTAGTACTTAACTGCCAGGCAGTTACCCAGAGTAGTTGCGCTGATTTCTGTTCTCACCAGCAGTGCTGGGAGTGCAGGTTGCCCCACATCCTGGTCCGTTCTTGATTTTTTCAGATTTCATCGTAGCCCTTCCTATGGGTATGCAGGCTTTGTGGATTTAGTTTGTATCTCTTCAACCATTAATGTGGTTTCCATTTTCTGTCAGGTTCTTTGTCTCTTAGTGATTTGTAAGAATTCTTTCTCTCTGTGAGGTTCTTTTTCTTTTAAATATAGTGGGTTTTTTAAAGATTTATTTATGCATAGAAGAACTGGGGTATAGGCCACAGATGCTGGGAGGATTCACCAGAGACAGAGTGGGGAGAACAGGCGAATCTACTGAAATGCACTGCTGAGGGGAGCAGCAGGTGAGTGAGGAGAGGTCTGCTGCGTCATGTGGTCACCTCCCTGGCCAGGGATTGAACTTAGGTCGTAGTGATGGTAGTGCTGAGACTTAACCCCTAGGCCACTAGGGAGGCCCTGATATGCATTTTGATTATAAGATACCACATTTAGTGTTGTAGAATCTTATGGTGGCATATACAAATATATAAAATGCAAATAAAAAAATCAAAAACCTAAGAAATTAGAAGATCTAGGCCAAGGAGATAGAAGATACACAAATAAACCATATGATTCTATAACTGTGTTGTAATTGAGCAATAAATTTTGCTTAGAAGTCAGAACTCAAATGGAAACGTGGACTATTATCTAGTCTCATTATCTGGATTCCTGTGAAGATCAGAGCAGATGGGGAAGAAGGCTGCGGGGGCTGAGGTGCGTTCACCTGTAACTGCTGATTTGCATGGCAGCGCTGACAGCTCTGTCTTCCCTTACAGGTCATTCAGCAATAGTTATGACCTCCAGGTTACGTGCGTTGGGTGGAAGAATTAACAACATACGAACCTCAGAATTACCCAAAGAGAAAACTCGATCTGAAGTCGTCTGCAGCATCCGCTTTTTAGATGGCTTGGTACAGACCTTTAAAGTTAACGTAAGTTCTCTAATTTTAATTTTTTTCTGAATTAATGACCCCGAGGAATAGTTTTCATCTCTTGGTTTGTTAAAATGAAGAAAAAAAAATATGTTAACCTAAAAGCTTGAGATGTCACATCTTGTATGTTGAGTTTAGACTGGAAATAACCTCTACCACTTTGCTCTCCTCGAGTGACCTTCCCTTTCCTGGGATGGGAACTGAATGACTTACCAGTAACTCCTTCTGTGACATCTTCAAATTCCTGAGCTAGTGTCGCCCTTGCTGTAATGATGGCGTCAGCATACGTTCTATGCCACTCTTCACACTGAGCTCCCATAGGCCGGGAATGAGGTCCTGTTCTTGCCCAGCATAGGGCTGGCCACAGCAGCAGCTCGTTAAGTGTGTAAGTGGTGGGTCCTATCTGGAGGACCACGAGAGTGTTAGCCTCATGACTGTCTTCTCCCCGCTCAAGACTGTGACAGAAGCAGGACTGGAAATGAGGTCTCAGGCCAGCCGGACCTTGTTTGAACAACCCCTCCCTTCTGCCCCACCCATCCCAGTCAGCATCCCGGGCAAAGGCCCATGACCTTTGCCCGCCTCTCCCATTCTCTAGCCAGTCCTAAACCATGGACTGGCTGCCAGCATCTGCTTCCTTCTGGAAAGTACAAGGAGAGGTATCAGAGAGAGACGGGCGCGGGGTGGGGGTGGGGGTGAAAAAGCTGGGGGGTAATGAAAAAACATAATTTAAAGGGTAGCAGAAGGTGATCCCTGGGTCTTCTCCTTGCCTTCTGCTGACCAGGTCACTCTGGACCTTGATGGCTGGCAGACAAGGGCATTTGGTGTGACGTCACATGGTAGATGCTGTTTCTCCTTCCCAGTCCAGGGGTGGGGCAGCTGCCCTGGGAATATGGCACCTCCCTACCTCCCTGTTAGTGAGCAAGACTTAGGCTGGAAAAATGACTAAGGATATGGGAATATGGGCTCCTTGCCTGGCACAGAGTGGAAGTGGACAGTGGAGGTGGTGCTTCCCCAAATTTCTACCCCACTCCCACATACTTCCACACTGGCCCAGGTCTGCTCCCTAAGGACAGGGGCCTTGGATTTTTTGCAGGTGGGAAACTTATTATAATTAGGAGAAGAAACCCCAGCCAAGGCATGTAATTGTCTAGTTAGGTTTCTCCAAAATCTAATTAGGGGGATAGGACATATACCTGTGACCTATTTCTTAAGTCACTTTGGTGAAAAGCATCTTCTAGGACAGCACAGTCTGAAAAAACTTGCTGCAGTGCCAGAAATGTTCTCTGTCTGCACTTAGCAGTACAGCAGCCACTGGACCCTTGAACACTTGAAATGTAACTGGATTTTTTTAAATTTTAATTAAACTTCAAATAGTCTTATAGCTCATGGCTTCCTTTTGTGCAGTACAGCCCTAGCGAGAAGTTCTTTGAGTACATTGGCACTATCTAGGATGCCTGTCGGGATAGACTTACTGTGTTTTAATTCCTTTTGAGAACTGGGTGAGGCGTGCAGAGCAGACAACAGGGAATAATTGGTTTGTGCACCCCAGAGAGAGAGAGGCAGTGTCATGGGGCAGGCATTTGGCAGCCAACCGGCCTGATTCAGGCTGACAGCCCATCCCTGGTGATGGCAACTCAGCAACATTGGTACAGAGATGAGAGAGCATATAAAAAGCGCACAGAATATCATGTCTGGCTCCTTGTAGATTACAGGAGTTAATATGTATTAAAACCTAATGTATAATCACATATGAAAATAAAGTCAGCAAGAGTAGCAGACGGCTCTTTGACACATCAAGGGAGTAGAGTATGTCGTCACTGAGAATACATGGACCGGGTCGCGCTTTCTGCTCTGTCTTGATTCCCTTGTGATGGAAGGTAACCTGGGAAACAGGAGGAAGCAGCAGGGATGGCCTGGACAGGAAAGGGGGTGAGTTCAAGAGCTGGGCTTGTCACATGTTCCCATTCTTCAGGCCAAGCAGTGTGAGACCCCCTCCTAAAAAAAGCAGCTACCGGAGGGGGCCAACTGCTGTCTAACTCTCCTCATCCTTGTCACGGTGACCTATTTTCAGCTATATTTTCACTCGCAGGCGCTCAGAAAAAATCTACCTTTGCTTATTCTATACAGTCTATTTCTGACTCCTATTGTCCTTAAGTTAAATGGGATTTCGTTCAAAGGATTCCTGAGAAGTCTGCCTGTTAAAGCAGAAGGTTCAGTTTCCTAAACACACCCTGCTGCTGGCCACCCCTGTGCCTTTCTTAGTGCCGGGCCTCTGCTAGCCGGGCCTTTTGTAGGCTCCTGCACCTGGACAGGAGCCTCTCAGCCCCCCATCCTCCCAGGCCCAGGTCCGGGGCGCTTCCACTTGCCCCAGAAGTTGAGTTGACCATTTATGGTGTACTTGTGTGTTTACTGTGCCCTTGACAGCAGCTGTCGCCATGTGCTGCAGTGGCTGCTGGGAGGGCTGCTGGTACGGCTCTGTCCCCTCCCAGGCCAGCAGTGGGCCTCTGCCATTAGCTCTGAGCCCTGGGCGTGAAATGTGGGTAACTGTTCCCATGGGCTTCTCACTTATGTGAACGGGGAGCAGTGAGCTGGAAAACCTATAGGGTAGCCCTCGCTAGACCACTTTGAGGTGCTCTGGAAGGGCCTGGAGTGATCTGGGCCATCTTCCTTTATGTTGTTAGTGGCATTTTTCCCTGTACACACTCGTGACTTCTGAGGCATCAACAGAAACCGACATGGAATTATTAGCATTTTTGCTGAAGATAATCCATGGGTAGGTCCCAGAGACTTAACTTGTAATTGTGATATCCGATTTTTCCAATGTGGACTACATCTCTTGGGAATCTCAGCTAAGGGGAAGGAGGAAGCCTTCGGAAATTAAACTCATATTGTCTTAAATCATATTTATGTCGTTTTTCTTAGCTCTGCTTCCTATATGTATTGTATGGCTTCTTCACTTGAAATTTATTAAATCATTTCTTTTTGTGGGATGTGTGTGCATGAAACTCTCAAAGTTCTAACTCCTTTGTTGGCTACAGTAGACTTTTAACCATTAGTGCTTAATTCATCTTAAAATTTTGCCCTCTTAGCATGTTTTTTTTCCCCTAGAAACAAGACACCGGTCAAGTTCTTCTGGACATGGCACACAACCACCTGGGCGTGACCGAAAAGGAATATTTTGGTTTGCAGCACGGCAATGACACAGTGGATTCTCCCGTGAGTGATGTCCCTTTAAGACGTGCTGGACTCCTGCATGGTTTGGTTTTATATCTTGTGTTTTCTTATCCAACAGAGATGGCTGGAATCCAGCAAACCCATCCGGAAGCAATTAAAAGGTGGGTGTGACCTTCTCATTGCAGTTACACATTAGGGTGAGTGCAGCACAGCCAACATCTCTCCTCCTCCTCAGTGTGCCTGTAACATCTGCCACTTGGGTTCCGGGTGATCCCAGAGGGAGGACGGGAGTGAGCAGATTTCTCCCTCACTGACTTCAGAGTGAGCAGAGATGCTGCCAATAACTCTCCAGGGGTCTGCACTAGGGAAAGGAGAGAGGAGGCAGTGAAGAGCCCAGGGAACCCACTTTCTTTTTGCAAGGAAGAAAGGGGAAAGAGACTGACTTGCCTTCCCCCGTGTGAGAGCCAGAGTGCGAAAGAGACACACACACACACACACACACACACGCACACCCCACCCCCCTAGAATTTTCTAGCAAGACTTCATTCACTGGAAATGAAGGCATAATTTAGTAATGTCACACACAGGACACAGCTCATTAGCCATGAGTGCATCCCAGGGCCAAAGGGTAGCACATGGTAAGGTGGACACCTCACCCACCTTCTGCCTGCTTCTTTTCTCAGCCTGTTTTTACAGCATTGCTCTCTGTTTCCCTTTATGCACCTTCTGCCCCAGATAAACCTGGCTGACCTCCAGTGCTGTACACACTTGTCTGTGCCCTCTCCCCGTCTGTTCCCTCTGTTGAAGAATGCTGTTCTTGCCCACTGTCCTATACCCCAATCTTCCCATTCTTCAAAGCTGCTCGGATCCCTTTTCCTCTCCTAGTGGAATCTGTGATTCCCTTACATTTATCACTTCCTGTCTCCTGGCTCAGAGCATGTTCTCTTTCATCTAACAGTTATTAGGCTCTATCTGCCCTGCAAAACTGCAAGCTCTTGATGTTAGGGCCATTGTCACATCCTCTGCACCCTGGTGGTGCCCTCCGTACAGGATGTGGCCTGTGAATGGCTTTGAGGAGTGCCAGCAGGTGGGTCTTGACACACAAGTGTGCATTTTCATGATGCTGCATGCCCCCATTCTTCCTGCATCTAGGTGAGAAAGGTAGAGTCGAGTAACCCTGGTTTTACTCTATCTGGAGTCTGTCCTTAGCGTTCAGAAGATATCTTTTCACATCAAGTCACAAAGCCACTAGCCAGATAAATACCTGCACCTCCGCCATTTCAATCCACAGAGGAGTGTGCACATGGGGCCTGGAGAGGTGATGTCATTCATTCTCTCACTAACTCATTGATTCAGCAAGCAAGTCCTGAGGTCCTGTTTTGTCAAAGTCTGGGCAACACACTGAGAATGTGGTCCAAATCAGATTTGGGCCCTGCCCTCAAGGAGCACCCAGCCAAATATGGAGCTGTAAGCAAGGGCAAAGAAAGTTCTAGGCACTGAGCACATGCAGAGGTGCTCTGGGTGTACAGAGAGGGAGAAAGGAGAGGAGGTGTGCCTGGGCATATCAAGTTATAGACTGGGGAGGGGAGCCGAAGGGCACCTCAAGGCAGTGAGAGTGCTTAGCTCCCTCACCAGTGTTACAGTGTCCCCCTCTGGTGCCCAGGCGCCTTTTCAGAGTTATGCTCACAGTTATATTCACACCATTGTCTCTGGCACAAGCCAGAGATAATATAGAAAACACCAAAGAAAAGAGAGGGCAGGACCAGGATGAACTACTGGGGGAGGAAGGGGATCATTGAGAAGAGTGGATACAGTTTCAGAGGGCAAGAAAGCCCAGAGCACAGGTAGAGCCAGTGATGGTGGCCAGGTGATGGAAAGGGGTAAAATCACCCTCAAAAAGAGGATGGGATCTTAGCAACACAATCTAATCATCTCAGGTGGCAAAGGAAATGGACTAATTTTAAGCAAATCAACTCTTGGTGGCATTGTAGAAAGCCATATTTAAGTATGTTTATTGTATAATGTAGGCTAATATATTAATCACTTTTTTCATTAAAAGCATGAAATATTTTTCGGTACTCAAATGATTTTGAAATGTGGCAGAACAGAATCAAAGACCTTGGTGCCACAGTTCAGGTTTGTCAGTCAACTGTGTGACCCAAGGCATGTCACCTGCACACGTGAGCCTGAGATTTATCAGTGGACAGTGCTGTCAGTGGCAGCCCAGCCTGCTCAGTCGTGGTGATGTTTGACTTAAAAAGGTGCTTGAAACATTTGAAAAGTATAAAATTGCTACGGATGCCAGAGATTATTTCTTTGTGAATTTTGTATGATCTGCTGATTGAAGGATTAAAAAAATTCCTAATAAAGACAATGCAGTGCTTAGTCTGAACACAGCCCTAAGTTAACCCTATAGTAGGAAGGTGATATTAGCTCGTTCTGTGCTGATGTGGCAAAGATAAATTACTTCTTGTAGACTTGGAGCTTTCTGAATGATCAATTAACAATGCGCTCCTTTTGTGAAATTAGTTCTTTAACTGATGGAAAAGACTTTGGTCTTGTGAAAAGTGCATCACGAGAGAGTAGCTGCTATATACATTGACTTTTTTAAAGAGAGAGAAAATCTAATTTGTTCTTGAACACTGTTGTAGGAGGTCCCCCCTGTACTCTGCACTTTCGAGTAAGATTTTTTATACCTGATCCCAACTCACTGCAGCAAGAACAAACCAGGTAATAACTTTTTTTAAGCTTTCTTTTAGTGTACAAAAACATGTAACCACTAAAAATGTACTCTTTATTTTATCATTGTCGCCAAATACTGCATTTGGGCATAACTACACTGATGATTATGATCCAAATGAAAATTGAGATAACTGCACTGACAATTATAATCCAAGTGAAAATTGGGGGTACATTTATCGAAATTGTAGTTGGCTAATTAGTTTTCAGTCTTGGACCTGCTTCTCTGTCTCCTAATTTGGTGCAATCCCCAGCACACTCACCTTGCCCTCCATCTGCCTCCTCACCTCCACACGTCTACCTGTGGAGCATGCTGTGCTGAAAGAATGCAGAGGCATTTTCTACTAATGCAGGCCTGGTTTGGAAGACAACTTTGTAAAACAACTACAGATCAAATAGTGCAGTGCAAACTGAGCTACTGGAATTGAAACTCTGTAGGATAACAAGTCTCTGGATTAAGAATTCTCCATCAGATCCCCAGCTGGTAAGAGCCAGAAAGGAGAGTAAGAAGAAGAACTCAGCTTCTCTCCTGGGTGAATCAAGTATGAACAATATGTGAACCAGATAAGGGGAAAAGCACTGCCCTGGAGTTGTTTACCCCGCTTGGGGACCTGTTGTCCTGACTCTGGCCCTGTACTGGCAGGTGGGTTTTCTGGGTGAGGATTATTATGGATTATTATTTTCTGGGTGAGGAACAGGGGGCCATGGGCACAGAAAAGTTGTTGTTCTCTGAACTCAACTATGCCTCTAGTTCCCCTCCCCTAGGTCAACATTAAGCCCTTTTATTATACTTTCATTTTTCTTACGGAGAAAAAAAAAAGCAGTGGAAGTTCAGGATCATTGAATCTCTCCTGTGCTTGTTGTTGTCATGAGGCCATTACTTAGGAGGTAACGTTAACTCAGATCTCTGTCTGGATTTTTCTTTTTTTTTTTTTTTAAGTGGTAATCGCATGATCACATTTTACTTTTTAATATATTTAAAGGCCAAATATCAGTGTATTGCTCTACCTAGCCTTCTTTGTGCACCTCTCCCCTCTATAATAGAAGCGTTGGCAGTCTGACCGCATTTACCTTTAAGGTTAAATCTTAAGCCATTGTAAGAGGCCTGGGTACCCAGTGGGCAGTACACATGTGCTTCGCCTTTTCCCCACAATGGCTCGTTATGCCAGTGAACTGAGGAGCAGTGAGTGGATCAGGGCATCAGCCTGTGTGAGCAGAATGCTGGCATCATCTGTAAAAAGGTGTGTAATTTCCGCAGACCACTGCAACTATCAAGTGCTATTGAAGGGGTGTTTTAGAAACAGTCTGATGGATTATGTGTGTCCCATATTATATGTCTGTGTAGACATAGGTGTGCCTGTGTGGCTTTTTAATTACAACCCAATGGCATAAAGCATCTTTTGCTTCATAGCACAGGACACACATATGTGCAAATTACTCAGCAGACATTGCATAAAACAATAGTAGGTACAAAACACTTCGAAGTTTTCTGTTCTGTTTCCACTTTTTTAAATGTTTACTTTACTACCACCCGATGATTTCCAAGCCTGTGTGTGAACTGGGCTCCCTGGCCTAGTGATTGGCACCATTGTCCTGTCTGCTCCCTGCAAGGCCCCTGTGGGCAGGTGAAACACTCCTATGAGTGGACTGAGGCCAGCCTAACCCAGGCATCCCCCTACAGTGCCCTGTGAGTCATTGGCTGCCTGCTTTTGTACTCCACGGCAAAGAAGCTCACTGCCTCTGAGAGCTGACAGGTCTTCTCTAGCCTCCCTGTCTCTTGAGGGACATTTGGGGGTGGAGAGAAATGGGGAGAAGAGAAGACTGCTTCATTTCTGCAAGCGTTGTCATGGGAAGGTGGGAATCAGACATACTTGGTGGTATTATTGTGGCCAGTGGGTGGAGGCTACAAAGGCAGCTTTCAAGATGAGTAATAGACTAATTTTTGTTCTCACCCTAAAACTGGATAAATTTCACTTTGTCCGTGTCCCTCCTAAAATTCACTGGTTCAGGACTGACTTTCGACAATACCCTGTTGCCTCACCTCCCATCTTAGGATGGCTGGCATTCCCAGTGTGGAGTGGAGAGCGCTGGGCACCTCCTGAAGGCTACACACTGGATTTCTCTTCATACAGTAGGAGCCAAGGCAGCAACCACCCCCATGTCTCCCAGAAAGCTGGAGGGGAGTCAGGACCTCCAAATCTTTGATGCTGGGCCAGGCTTCCACCATTAATGCATATGACTTGTTGTTGTTGTTGTTTTGTTCTGTTTACTTAAATGAAGACTTCTACCTATTTTCCTGACAGAGTGTCTTATTAAGCCCCAGCTCTGTAACCTATCTGAAAGTAAGATAATTTTTCAGAGAGTCAACTCTCAAGAGTCAGAGGAGTATGTAGTATAGAGTAGTTCCTGTTCTCTGTTTTCTAAGAATCAAGGCAGGGACACAGTCATTGCTTTTTTCTGAAGTGGAAGTCATGGATGGATATGCTAATGATTTCATTTCTCAAGTTAGGCAAGGCCAAGTCTCTTATAAATGATATTCCTTTATTCTAATGGTTAAATAAGTGTCTCCTTTGTCATGAGCCTCCACAACTGCTGTTCCTGATAAATTTAGATCATTCTAAACAGAATTTCATTTTCTGGCAGTCTCAGAATTTGGGTCTCATTCCACGATTCAGATCTGGAATCAGATCCGCTGTTGTGGGGGTGACTCAGCAACCTCGCTGACCTGGTAACCAGGTAGCATTGGTGAGTGGTGATCTCCAGGCTCGTGTTTTAATTTATATCCCTAGGAAGATACACTGATTAGTGGGGCTCATCAGTGAAAGCCTAGATACCATTGGATTGTCTATAATTCTCTCCCTTCTCTTCTTTCTCTCAGTAGCATTATAGGCGAGGACACTTAATTCTGGTTGATTGTCAGCTTGGATAAACATAGAAACAAACTAGAAAGGACTGATTATATCCTCCTAGGTGGAAGACGTCAAGATTCCAATATGGAATAGACTCGAGTCAGCAAATGATTGTCACTCGTCTCAGGGCTGGTGTTCAACACATTGTGGGTAGTTGATGATAATTATGGTCAAATTATATAATACCAGAGCTTTTTAGTCATTAGGAGCATAAGAAATTTGTGGCATATTTTTTTCATAAATCAGTGTCCAGGTTAAAATAAGGAAGGCATAACTGGCTCCACATTATCTTATCTGAAAGCCAGTTTCTCATCTGTTAAAAACAGAGCTGGCAGTGCCTATCTCAGAGTTATCAGGAGGCTGAAAGGAGGCAGTAAGCTATGAAGTGCCGTGCACACAGCCCAGACCTCTATAAACAGGAGATTTCAAGATCTTTTGACGCATTCATGCCTCAAAACTTCTTGACCTTTAATCATATAAATTTGAAGGAATAATGAGACTAATTTGTTCAGATTGCCAAAACACTCTCTCCTGCCCCTGAACCTTTCTCCTGTGTCTAGATTATAGTTCAGGAAGTTTCCCTTTTATCATCTTAGCCAGACACTGGAATGTCTATCCCATTTGAAATCTGGGTTTTAAAAGAGTGGGAGCTCTCAGCCAAGTGTCACATGTATGCTGCGTCCCTAAATATAACGCTCTCCAGGGCTCTTCCTGGCCTGCATGGCGTGTCCATGCCTTGTGCCCCCGGACCCTCCCTAGATGGAGGGGCAGGTTCACAGGATGGGGGCCTGTGATGACTTGCCAAGCTTTGCCCACAAGTCAGCCCCAGGTTCCGAAGTCACATCACCGGAAGCTCACAGAATCCCGCCTCGAGGTTCTGGCAGCTTATAGTTGACTGATGTTTATGCTTTTGCGTGAGCACCCACAGTTCTGGGACACAGGGAAAAACCCAGCTGGGTGCTTGCACCCCAGCCAAGGAGGTGTCTTCACAGACCCTCCTCCTCGCAGCAACTTTATGCAGAGGGGACGTGGGTGTGCAAATGCCATGTTCAGAACAGCGGCCTGCCAGCATGTGGGGGCTGCCTGTGCAGGATGCCTGTGGGTCCTGGTACTCTCAGATATACCCTGAGTTTGATCCGGAAGTCCAGGCTGAGTGTGGGGTCACTCCCCGACAACAGTATCAGCCAGTGGACCCCAGGCATGTGCGGGTGGGAAGCAGGCTGTGGATCACTCCACAGCCAAGAGTGAGGCAACTGCGCCAAGCCAAGCCTGGTTACCAAGGGGCCAGCTTTGCAATATGCCAAGTCATGTCTGATACATTAGGCCAGATTGTGTTTGCATGTATTTTGCTTTTCAAATGCACAGGTCTTGTCCTTGACTCATCAAAAATGTTTATTTTTTGGCTTATTTCAATTTGAATATTATGAATTAATGAAAACAATTGTTTCATAGGCATCTGTATTTCTTACAACTGAAGATGGATATTTGCGAAGGAAGGTAATAAGAATTTTGCATTCTTCCTTTCCTGTCCACTGCCAAACTAGCAAAATTCCTGCTTTAATCGAATGAGCATGCATTTCTGGTAACAATATTAAATATAAACAAAGAATGGCTGTTGAAAACAGCATCCTGTCCAGCATTATGCTTTGGACATCTGTTTTTAACTCAGATTTGGTTTAGAGACACTAAAGATTGGTAAACTTCATTTCGTGTTGTTTTAATTTTATTTTGAAAGGGCCAGTTATCTTGCTAGTAAAGACCTGAGACATTTTAAAGGGAGGGAGACACCCAGAATGTAAAACAGACTTCATTGAGGAAGGCAGATCAGGCCTAATTTGGGTCCAATTCCAAGTCCCTTGGTAGCTGTCAGTCACTCATTTTTCTCTCTGGGAAGCTTTTTGCTCAAAGACATGAGCCCATCACTCAGCACTTCTTGGACTCAGGACCACGTCAATGGCTGGAAAGAGAACAGCTGAGCACCAGAGAGGAGATGTCAAACCAGTGGCATCACAGCTACCGCTTACAAATCCATAGTTTTCTCTTGACTTATGGAAGAAAGTGCAGCAGGTAAACTGGTGGGAACAGGCCATCTTAGTTGCATTTTCTTCATCCCCATTTTCCTCCAGTCTGTTTACTTTTACTGAGGGAGGCAGAGCCTGTGTCTGGCTGGGGAAATGAGACAAGAGCCTACGAAGCAGTTAAAACAGTTATGGGCAGTGACCACAGGTGGCAGCAGCTTCTGGAGGACATGCCCAATGATGGTGCAGGCTGGTGGAGTCGTGGTGGGTAGCTGTGCTGCATCAGGATTGGGGCGGGCAGAGGAGTGAGGATCTGGATCGCTCTGGGCAGTGAGAAGACACCCTGCCCAGCTCCACCCACTATCTATCGTCCCAGCCGGAAACCATATGTTGAGGGCTTACAGGAGATTGGTGAGGGGTGGGGGGGGGCGCTCCATGTCCAATGTGGACATGCACCTGTATCCAGCAGGGGGAGCAGGGCTGCTGAGGGCTTTTCAGCAGAAGGCATGTGGCGACAGCGGCATCTGCAGACAGCGTTAGTAGAAGAGGGGAATCTGGGAGAGGCTGAGGGACTGCGGAAGGGAAAGGCAGCCCTTTGGGGAAGCTCTAGCAGTTGTCCAGGCCAGAGACTGGGGGCAAGTCAGTGAAGATGGGGGTGTAAGAAAGGAGGAGCAGTTAGAAACGAGAGACATGTTGAAGAAAGCCGTGCCAGAAACTGTGGACTATTTAATGATCATAGAATTAGGGAGTTTTTGTAATTTAGCTCATCCTCCCACTCAAGGGAGGAACGAATCCCTTTTCTAGCAGAGCTGACAGGCTTTTGGGCTTCTCTGCTTGGGCACCCCTAATAGTGAGGGATTGTTCTTTCATGAGGCAGCCTTCCTATATTTCAGGGGTCCAGGCTGCCCTCTGCAGCAATACTTGTCTCTCTTCTGTACCTCTACTTTGTTTGAAATGACTTTGCAAGCCCTGTTGGGAAGCAGCACTATACACTGTGCTAGTCAGATCAGGTAAGGCCCCCGCCCTCTAGGGGCTTCAGTCTAGCTCTCCAAATATCAGAAGTTGGTGGTCTTTATTTTTTCTTTCCCGAACAAAATACCCCATGTAAATTTTGTGTCAATCAGTAGAAATCAGTAGGTCTGCTGGTGGCCCTCACCAGCTCTCTGAGGAGAAGTTCCCCCACTTCCAGACCCTTCTTGGGTGCGTATCAAGGTGGCATCTGGCTCCCAGAAGGCAGCCATGGGCCTTCTGATAGAGTCAGTGGATTGTGGCTAGCATTTCTTCTGGGTGTGGGATGGTGCCCTGACTTCTTTGAGCCTGCTGGTGGTAGGCAGTCCCCTACCACCTCTCCTTCCTGCAGATTTGGTGATCTCCAGCAGATGGAGAGAAGGGCGGAGTCTGCTGGGAACATGGAGCCCGGCAGTGGGTGAGTGAGAGCAGAAGGTAGGCTGTCAGTGCTTAGTATGTATTTTCAACACCATTCTTGGGAAATGCTTCTCTTTCTGTCTTAATAGACTGTCTCTTCCATCTAGACAGAACCCCCTTGGATTCTCTTAAGTTTCCCAAATTCCATTCACTTGTGGTGCATCCAGCAAGGACTAACTTAGATTTCCTTGACACCTACCTTGGTGGGAGAAAAAATAGCTGATGTCTGCTCTCCCCATGGGCTCTCTGAGTCTGCACATCCCAGATAGATGTTGAGTATCCCTGGACGTCTCTCCAAACTTGGAGAGGTCATTTAGAAGTTCTAGTGTAGTTGAATGATAGGGTCGCTTGGATCGGCAATGCTGCCTCCATATGCAGCTTCAGGACCAGCACACAGCGTGGTGGGCAGCCAGGGGCACCCTGGCCGGCCAGCCAGATTAGTCAGAGTGGTGGGGGTGACTCACATCTTGGGAACTTCATGGGCTGCCATGGAAACGGCATGTTTTCTCCACATCCCACAGGGTTGCCAAGAAGAATGCTTTTAAAATGCATGTCTGCTCACCCTAGAAGCCCTCAGTCTTGCTGCTTCTACTTAGCCCTTCCCAATGCTTTCCTCCACCTGGCTGTGGGCCCTGCCCCAGGTCGGCTGGCCAAACCCCTAGCAGACCACGGAATGGAATCCAGGGTTGGATGGAGAAAAGGGAGTATTCAGGGGATTTAAAGTATGACGAAAACAGAGATGGAGTCGTTGGCACAGATGGGGTGTTGGGGAGGCCAGTGAGCTGAGGAGAGGAGGAGAACGAGTCCAGCCTGGAGCCTGTGGGTTTCTAGCAGGTGTCAAGAGATCTGATAGACCCTCCCCTGTAGGCCAGAAGCATCACGAAGCTAAATAGATGTGTGAATGTTAAGTAATTGCAACTAATTAATTTAAAAATCACGGGATTTTTAAAACTCAAAATGCTTCATTATGTTTCCCTTCTAAAGATATCACCCTTCTAGTAGGTCATCAAGAATCAGTCATGAGAAGTCAGATTTAGAGAGTCCTGTGAAGAGTCTCATGTCTTTACTAGACAGATATGAAGCCTGCCTGCTGATCTAAGGGCAGTATTCTTACTTCTCCTGTTCATGATATGGATCTGGCCTTTATTAACCAGCAAACTGGCCAATATTAGCTCTTTAGTTTCAGGGTATTTGTACTAATGCTATTTTAAACATGAAACAGTTTTAATTTTTAAAAATGTTTGTTACATTTATCTTTACTATTTGAGATTGAGTGAGGTCATAAAATTGTCTTCATTATTCATGATGTTTTTTCATGGTTAATTCAAGAAAAAAAAAGGTTATTACCATGATCGGTATGTGTTTCAGGCTGTGGTTCTTATGCGTTCCCTAACATGTGTTTCTCCTGACAGGTTAACATGCCCTCTTAACTCTGCAGTGGTTCTAGCATCCTATGCAGTACAATGTAAGTCATGAAGGGGGCGTTTCATTGTGGACTGATTGTTTTAACCCAGGTGTTAAAGTCACCAGCCTCTCCTGTTTGACCAAGTGCCTACCCCTCTTCCCAGGAATCTCATTGGGCTAGCTTGCCTCTGGTTATTTGGATTGTCTCATTTTCACCCTGACTCACTCTCTTACAGCTCAAGGCTATTGAATTAAGGAAGGTGGTTAAAGGGAAAGAGTGGATGAGTTGTGTTGTGGGGTGTTTTCCACGGGAGCCCATAAAACAGAAGACATGTACTGAACACGATACTTTCCAAAGTCTTCCCTCACCTCTCAGATTTTGATCTCCATACCAAGCCCCAGTGGGACAGATATTTAACATTCACCTCTTACAGACTAGAAACTATGACCCAGCTAGGTTCAAACCTACTGGAGGTCACCCTGGTGACTTACTTGGCATCAGTCTCAAACCCTGCTGGGATTGTGGGAACTTACAGTTTCAATAGAGCTAATACTATTTAGAGCAGCACTGTCCAAGAGAAATACAGTGTGAGCCCCATATGTAATGAATAATCATATTAAAGTAAATGAAAAAGGTAAGATTATTTTTAATATATTTATCCCAGTATATCCAAAATATTATTTTAATAATGTAAAAATTAAAGAAGATACTTTACATTCTTTTTTTCTTTTTCTTTTTTTAACATTCTTTTTTCTTACTAAGTCTATGAAAACAAGACTTTATTTATTTATTTTTGGTGTAGAAGAACTGGGATGTAGGCCAGAGGTGTGGAGAGGGGAAGGGTGAGAGGACTCACCAGAGACAGAGTAGGGAGCAGAACAGGCGGACCCACTGAAATACACTGCTAAGGGAAGCAACAGGCAAAGACAGGAGAGGTCTGCTGCTCCATATGTGGCTTAGCTCCCTGGCTGGGGATCGAACTCAGGCCGTCACGGTGATAGCACTGAGACCCAACCCCTAGGCCACCAGGGAGGCCTGAAAACCAGACTTTATACTTACAGCACATCTTAATTTTTTTTTTTTTTTCGGGGCATTCAGTGAATTTATATTTTTTTTTCACCTTCTGGGTATGTAATTTATTAAACATATTTTACATAAGTCATTTATACATAAGGTCTCTCATATATGCAAAATTTATATATATGACACATTCAGCAAAATACACATTTCTGTAAAATATTATAACTAATTAAAATACTTCCTCACATGTCTTCTTGACAGTGTAATTATCCATTAAATGAGTTACCATATGTCTAGTATATATAATATCACTGTCATGACATATAGTATCTTAACAATTTTTCAGCATTTGGGAAAATTGGAAGGAAGAGTAAATAAAGAATACATTGGGAAAAAGGTCAAATTTTAAGTAATAGCTAAAAATCTTAGAGTAATTCTGTCAAAAATGACCTCATTTTCTTCAATTTTTAAATTTTAAACTTTTTTTTTAAATAATAAATTTTATTGTTATATTCCCCATATATTTGCAACCCCCCCCATTCTGTCCCCAATCCCTCCCCTCCCGCCCCCCACTCCCCAAAAAGTGTCTCTGGTTCATAGCTTTTTGTTGATTTTGATTTTCACTTTCTTATAGTTATTCATTTTCCTGGTCCCTTATTTAAGTTCTCTAGAGTCCTGCTGTGAGTGAGACCATCCGGTATTTTTCTTTTTCTTTCTGGCTTATTTCGCTGAGCATGATCCCTTCCAGCGCCATCCATGTTGCTGCAAATTGCATGTGTTTATCTTTTTTGAATGCTGAGTAATATTCCATGGTGTATATGTACCACATCTTCTTGATCCAGTCATCTATTTTTGGGCATTTGGGCTGTTTCCAAAGCTTAGCTATTGTAAATAGAGCTGCTATAAACATAGGGGTGCAGGTGTTCTTTGGAATTGATGTTTCTGTGCCTTTTGGGTAAATACCTAGGAGTGGAATTGCTGGATCATATGGAAGCTCTATGTTTAGTAGGTCCAGAAATCTCCACACAGCTCTCCATAGTGGTTGGACCAGTTTGCACTCCCACCAACAGTGCAGGAGAGTTCCTTTTTCTCCACACCCTCGCCAACATTTCTTGCTGCTAGTTTTTTTAATATGTGCCATTCTCACTGGTGTAAGATGGTATCTCATGGTAGTTTTGATTTGCATTTCCCTGATTACAAGTGATGTTGAACATTTTTTCATATGCCTGTTGGCCATTTGCATTTCCTCTTCAGAGAAGTTTCTTTTTAGCTCTTCTGCCCATTTTTTGACTGGATTATTTTCTTTGTTGTTGTTGAGTCTCATCAGCTCTTTGCAGACTTTTGTGATCAGTCTTTTATCATTAGTGTTGTGTGCAAAAATGTACTCCCAGTCAGTGGGGTTTCCCTTTGTTTTTGTTATTGTCTCTTTTGCTGTGCAGAAGCTCTTTAATTTGATGTAGTCCCAGTTGTTTATCTTTGCCTTTACTATCACTGCTTTGGGTGATGCAGCACATCTTAATTTGGACTAGCCATATTTCAAGTGCTCAGTAGCCATATTTGGTTAGTGGCTGCCATATTGGATATAAAATCCAGATGGAATTTTCCATCAAAAACTGGAGTATGAATCCAGTCATTCAATTAGAGATTTTATTGAGCATTATTCAGGCCCTGGGTATATTAGGCTCTGGGGTAGATGCTGGGCATGCACAACTGATGGAAAGCGTGGTATCACTTTACTGTTAGCTATGTGGTGCCAGTATAGTATACCAACATAGAACTCATCTACAGCCAAGACTTAAAAAGACCCTCCTCTTCCTGTAATCTTAAACTATTAAGGCCTGTTACCCTCTTGGCTGACTGCATGGTAGGGAGTTAAAAGAGGAAGATGAACAAGTCTGAGTAGGTGCTGGCTCTATTACTTACCCTACTCTGATCTCAGGAGAGGCAGAATGGAAAGAGAAACCTGATAAGGTGGCTTTGACTTTGCCTCCTTCCCCAGCAGCAAAGGGCAGAAATGAAAGAGGTGATGAACTTGGTTACTGGGCCTACAGCTCACCTGTCTGCCTGCATGATAGCAGGAAGTGGAGGAGAGAATTGTAATCCTACTTACTAGTTAGACCCGTATGCTTTTACTTCTTGAATTTGTCTTCTTGCCTCTGGAGTGAGGTGATAATGGTCATTTTGACAACTTGCAGTATGGCTACTTGGTTCTAGTAATAGGAGTGAAGGTGACCTATAATTGGAAACTAAATGGATCATCACCATTAACTGGGTCAGTGAGGGCATGAACTGAAGTCATATTACCTAAGTTTTGGTTCTTCACTTATACCTGTGTGACTTTGAACCTCCCCTGACCTCTTCATCCATCAAGTAGGGATCACAATGTCTCCTTCATAGGTATAATAAAGATGAAATGAATTAATTTATGTAGAGCTCTTAGCATAGAGCCTGGCACATGACAGGTGTTAACTCTTAGTGTATTTTCATGTCTACCCAAAGGAAAGTTGTCTTAAGAACTGCCTATTGTAAATAATAAACTCCTATTTAGAGTAAAATAAAATCCTGTTCTAAACTAATCAAGTTTCCCTCTGCAAAGGAGTGATAGAATGGGGATTTAAAGTTATTGTCACCTAAAAAGTACAAAGTAAATTCAGTGGAAACACTAGCATCAGTGACATGCTAATAAAACCATTGCCAGACGAGCAGTTTTAAGTACAAGGTCTTTATTCTTCCACCAACCCTCAGTAAATATTATAAATATGCATGCATTTCTTGGATATGAAGTTGCTGGCTCAAAGGGTGTGCCTAAAATTTATCTGATACAGTTTGCTAAATTATCCCAAAAGGGTCATCCACTAGGACAATAAGCCCTATCACTGATCAGTAAACCAAACTACATATTCTTATTAGAGTAAAAATAATGTGATTGATTAGTGGGCAAAGTACCCAAACAGACTTGATGATCAGAGATTGCTGGTGGTCAGACAGGGCTTCCGAGGCTCAAAGAATGAAACTTTTGGAAGTATGTTTAGAATGTTCATTGTGTCTCTGCCGTGTGATACGTTCTGCACCAGTCTCGGTGCACAGAGCTGATGTGGACAGGGAGGGTGCTCCAGGCGCTGCCTCTATCCTGCTTTGGGGGAGAAGGGAGTGCTTCCTAGTGATGACCCAAGAAAAGAACCTTCAAGATCAAGCTGGAGTTGGAGGACTGTTCCCAACAGAACAGCTTGAAATGTCACACATTTAAATACCAGGGATCTATGCTCCAGCGAAGTAGAAAATATTAGCCAGAAGAATTTATGGAACTTAGAAAGGCAAGGTATGTCCCATATAATCACTTATTTCCTTTGCCCCCCATAATTAGCTCTTGCATGTGTTGCTTCCCCACAAACAGAAAAGTTTGTCACTGGGATTTAGGGTATAAGTAGATAGAGTATAACTATAATCAGTCTAGGCTCTGAGTTGCCAGCTGTGAAAGGGTAGGTTCCTTCTTTGAGCTTCAATTCCTTCATCTTTTTAGCGAGGATAACAGCAATGCTTATCATTGGGTTATCACAAGCATTTAGTGGGATGATGTCAATGGAATCAACATGGAACCTCACTGTGCTTTGCATATTTGACTGTGACTGTTTAACTTTGTTTCCCTCTAGTGGTTAGTCCAGGACTTTGCAGAAAATGCAACTAAAATAAAAAGGAAAACCACCCCTCAGGGAAGTTCATCGGTCATGTGTTAAGGCGAAACACTTGTTGATAGCCTTGCTGTTCATGTTTTCCAAAAGGTGCAGGATTTGGCACCCTTAGTAATATAATGGATGACCAAATCAAGATCCGAGAGGATCTCTGTGAGCTAATGAAACCCAAACCCACAGAGTAAAATTTAACAGGGCTCTGCCTTGAGACTCAGGAGGTCATTTGAGGCATTTGGTTGTCCTCTGGGGACATGACCACTATCACCAGCAAATGGTCAGCAGCAGCTTGCGGTTCTGGCAGGCTGGTGGAATCATAGGAGCTCTGGCTGGGGTACCAATCACCTGGGTTCCAGTCTTGACTCTGCAGAAAATGGTTCTGTAATAGGACCTCAGTTTCATCCCCTTTAACTCGAGTTTAGATAAGGTGATTCTAAAGCATTGTTGAGTTTTGGAATATAGGTTATTATGCTACAAATAGAACCTATAGGCTGTACATTTTACCTTGCACAAACTCATCTGTAAGTCACACTTGTGCTAACAATGTACAGCCTGGATTTTTCTGCTTATAATTTTTAGCAACATGTGGCTGGCCTTAACAGCCTGTGGTCTATCCTTGACCAAGTTCTCCAACCTCTGAGCACTTCCTGGTCCCCTTTCTTGCACACTTCCCCGAATCTCAGGGAGTGGGTCAAGATGCAGATGGTGGTGATGTCATCATGGCATCACTTTGCCATGATTTTTTAGATCAGATTGGTTTAATAACTTGGAGTACAACAGGGAACTAGCCTGCACAGTGCCTGGCATAGAGTGTGGCATTTTGAGGGGGTTCTCATGTTTTTTTCACCAGGGGTATGAGTGCAAACCACTGTATCAACTACAGACTACAGAAAAGATACGGGATTAAAACAGATCCAAGACTGAACAGTCCCCTTTTCCTCCTTCAGTGACCTTGGGGACAGTGGTTTCGCTGGTGGAGGGTATGTGGAAGTTCCTAGCCTAATGAGGGTTCAGATGATAAATGTGGAATCTGGAATTAATGAGAAGCTTAGGTGGTGGCAAAACTTTGTAGAAGAGTGTCTCCAATTATTGTTCTCTTGTGATGCTGTAGATGCTTGTAATGCAATCATATTGAAAAGGCAATCTCCCCCCTCATTCTGTCTTGACAGCTCATTTTGGAGACTATAACTCTTCCATACATCATCCGGGCTATCTTTCCGATAGTCAGTTTCTACCAGATCAGAGCGATGATTTTTTAACAAAGGTGGAAGCTCTCCATGAGCAGCACAGGTGAGAGGAGGGGTGGGTGGGATGACCTACTTTGGGGACCTGGATTGAGTATTGTCAGACCTGCTTCCCCTAGTGTTTGATGTGCTCTCCTCTTTCTTTTGCTCATGACTCCTCTTTCAAGACGTCGGGGTGGGGTTTTGAATCTTTGAGCTGTTATGATGGTAGATATATATTTGGCAAGAGAAAATGGTTTCTGTTAAAATCCAGTAAGAGTTGAGAGTGATTTGCTGCTTTTTCTTAGAAATCAGTTTAGTCCTGAAGGAAGTGCCCAATTTAAATCCGCCCCACAAATTGACCCTACCAGGTAAACCTTTTAACAGTTTACCACATTTGATAAGCTGGGCTATTTCTTCAGGTACAGTTGAATGGGCAGCCAGGTGGGCATAAATGATGATTGGCTGGGGGAATCCCAAGCCCTCCCTGGGTTCAGTTCTCAAAGCTGCTTTACTTAGTCCCTGGGGCCAAGACTCAACTCCATCCACCATGTCCCAGTGCTGACCTCCTCTTTCCTGGCAGCATGTTCCTCAAAGCTGCTGTGGCAGCTGTTCAGTCCAGGTCAAATGAGGGCCCCCCCACCTCCTGACAGAGAAGGGCAGTTCCCAAAGGACCTCACATTCTTGGGAAGGCCATAAAAACAAAGGCCAAGCAAACAGCGTCCCTTCTAAAAGGGCATTGCCAAACTGCTCTCCCAGAATTGCTCCCCAGGCGGGAGCCAGCATCCTAAAATAGTACAGTGACGTTTGGAAGTTTGAGACTGCCGCTCAAAAGGTAGATAAAAGCAGAAAGATCTCAGAACACCTATTAATTAAACAACTTGGAGTAAGGGTGGAAATTCCGAAAGGCGGCGGTCTCCTCCATGCAAGTGTTGAGAGCTTGCTAAGTGAGCAGGGGTCAATGAAGAAATGAGTGGGCTAGATGAAGTCATATTTGGGGGACAAGAGAAAAAAGATACCTAGTTTAGTAGAATTTAGGATTAGATTGTTTAATACAAGGCACTTAATAATGTTGTAGAATTGCTGTCAGATTTTTAAAATTTTTATTAATGTTAAAGATTGGAGTTAATGCTCTGTATTTGGGGTGAACTCTACCTCTTTGTCCTATAGTGGGCTAAAGCAGTGTGAAGCTGAATCTTGCTACATCAACATAGCACGGACCCTCGACTTCTATGGAGTGGAGCTGCACAGCGGGAGGGTATGTGTCCTTGCACATCTGTGTTCAAAATTGCTTTGACTTTAATTCCTGAAAGTTTAAAAACTTCCTTGATGAAACTATTTCTTTTCTAGGATAATAAACAAGGCTTATTTTTAGAAAATTTTATAGAGTTATTTTGTTTTGCTCGTTACCTGTTGCTTTTGCATGTTTGTTTTTACACTTGAAAGCTTTTTCCTGGGTGGGTGCAAGTCAGTGGTATTAGAAACAGGTAATTTTTGTAAGGTAATTTCATATTGTAATTAAAGAGGCCAAAAATACATACAAATTGATTTCCTGTGTGACACTTTAATGAGTCAAAATGTCCATTGCATGCTGCTCAGATTAGAGCTAGTCACTCAAATATGATGGATTTTAAAGTTAGGATGGTATGATTGTGAGAATCAATACAGGTTCCTCCTGGTAGCTGAAAGTAGAGACCATTACTGTTAATTTATGTGGAAAGGCTTTGAGTGTTCCCAGATTCAAAAAATCACCAACCAAATCATACCAAATAGGTAACTTTCCACTTCAGACGGTAGGAGAAATGTTTAAGTACTTTAAAGTGGTTGTAACTTTTTAAAAATACCAGACTCTTATCTTTCACCTACTGAGTAAAGCCATGAAGTAAGGGTTGCCATTACCCCATCTCGCAAATGGAGAAACTATAACATTCATAAACTTAGCAGAGGTCACACAGAGTAGAAGTGGTGACTTCAGTGCCTAGTCTGGCACTGTCATATTGGCATCTGACTTTCCAGCCACAACATACTAGCATTCCTGACTTATATCCTCCAGTATCAGCCTAATAAAAACCCTAGAGGCATGCTCTATTATCTTTGTTTTACAAAAAAAGAAATATCGAGACTCAGTAGCTTGAAATGACACAGCTAGGAAGTAGCAAAGCTAAGGTTCACACTCGTGGTGACAGAGTCCGACTCCACCTCTTCTTGATAATTATGAGGGTCTGATTGGGTAAGTAACTCAAGGGTAGGACCAATTTTATTTAAAAATTTTGTTTCCTTATACTGATCTTGTTCCCAAACAGATTAAAGCAGTTTGTAGTCCTTCTATCTTCCTTCTGCATCTTCCTCATCTACAGCAATGCCTGGTACACAGGCTCTTACAAATCTTGAATGTATTGGATTTTTTTTTTTTTTTTGGTGGGACCCTTGCTGGCGGCCGGGGAACAAACCGGTGCTGCAGAGGCTGCAGGCAGCCTCGCAGGTCAGCGCTCAACCGCTGCGCCACCAGGGGAGACCCCGTATTGGATTTTTAAGCAATGTTTATTTCTTAATTGGATTTAGAGTCAGCAGTTTGCACTTCATTATAATTGCTACAGTCTATTCCATGATGCAAGTTAAGATTTGTTTAAAGCTCTGCAGTGGGCAAGGCCTTTCTGGTTTTAATCGACTCTCTAATACTAATTGTTGGAAATTTAAAATTGCACGTTCATTTCATTTTCAATGATTCTCTGGAATGTGTATGCTTGCCTGGTAACTTTCTAATCCGATGGAAGCCAAGTGTGACTATCAGGCATGTACATTTGCTTTACAAGAATTTGGCACCATATACTTAGATGTTAAGTCTTTGGTAAAGAGGGGGTTTTGCCTGTTTTCATTAACATTTTGGAGCTTATACATATTGCTATTTACGAAAATGTGGGTGCTTTAGTTACCAGAGGGCATAAACATGACTGTAACTCGCTGGGAATCTGAGATCTTCCTATTACAGGATCTGCACAATTTAGATCTAATGATTGGAATTGCTTCCGCGGGCATCGCTGTATACCGAAAATACATTTGCACAAGCTTCTATCCTTGGTAAGTGCAAACCAGTTCTAATTATTTTCTGAATCATGCTTTATAAATACGCAGAAAAGTAATCGTACCTCTCATTTTAAGCTTTTGTTACTACAGAGGAGGTAGAGACACCCCCCACCACACACATTCTTTTTACCTCTTACATCTGACTTTGATCCAGATTCAGAAATTTAGAAAATTTGGAAAATTAGAGTTAGGTTTCTATCAGCATTCTTCCTCCCACACCCACCCCAGTCACCCTATGAGGTGAAGATGTGATGGATAAGGTGGCACATGGCAGATCTTGGAGTTAAGAAATCTTTCCTGGGTGATACACTTATGCAAGTTACTTATGCAACTTTTGCCAAGTGTCCAACTCTGATGTAAATACTAAGGTGCCCCCATCAAAATTGAATCCTCATAAGACAACTGTATGAGGAAGGTGGTGCTATCCCCACTGCTGAGAAGGCTTCATCGTGGGGGTTTTGGAGCATAAGCTGAGATCTTGGCTCTCACCATTCCTCGGAGAACACTCTTGAGCACTTCATTGATGTCTCTGAGCCTCATTTTTGGCTGCAAGGCTTAGTTGAGGGGATGCTTGTAAAACTTGTAGCAGGAGATCCAGTATATAAAAGTTGCTGAGTTCACTGTGGCTGTACTTCTGTCCTGATAGAGAAGCTACCTGACACATGGCTATTAAGTAACAGATCCAGATGCCCGACCCAGGTCTGTCCTCCTGCTGCTCCACACTGCCCTCCACTGTCTTCCCCAGGTATACACCAGCTCACGCAGAGCTGCAATGTCACAAAAGCAGCTGACGGCAAAGAGAGCACATTGCCCATGGTTCTTGTCACTTAAAAGCTACATCATAATCCAGTGCCCCTTATGGGATACTCAGCTTCAGTCAGCTACCTGGTGTTTGGTGGAAGCGATGGGGCCGCCATCATTTCAACAGTGAGGATGAGAGCCTCAGTCATCACGATCCTGGAGTAAAGGACATACATTGGGAGGCACCAGCTCCAGCCCAGCAGATCCCTGATGTGCTTTTTGTGTGTTTTGTTGTATTTTTTGCAGGGTGAACATTCTAAAAATTTCTTTCAAAAGGAAAAAGTTCTTTATACATCAGCGGCAAAAACAGGTGAGTTACGTCTTGTTTGCTTCGGGGTTTTTTTGTGTTTTTAGCCACTGCAGCTCTTAGTCCTTTGGCTGGCGAAGGCGGTTTGCCATATGTTTAAATGCATAACAGGGAAGAAAGAACATGGCATATGGTGGAAAGGAAATGGAGGCCCAGCACTCCTCTGTGCCGTTCATTCTGCTTATCTGGTCAGAGAAAGAACTCGCTTTGGAGTCAGAGACAGTAGATTTGGATCCTGGCTCTTCTGCTTAACCAGCTGGACAAGTTACTCAGCCTCCCCTAGTCCCAGCTGCCTTGTTTACAGAAATGTACTAATGCCCTCTTCTCAGGGAATAATAGAGATTAAATAGCTGAGCGCTAGTCAAAGCGCTGGCACGGAGTCCCCTGAACAGCAGCCATGAATGTCAGCAAGGTCAGTTCCTTCCCTTGCTGTGTTTAAAATGCACCAAGGCCTTGTGTGTCTCAGAAGCGGACTTCACAGCTCCCTAGATGACTCGTTTCATTATCTCCGTGAGGTGGGGTTGTGGGGGGGGCTTAGAGATGAGGAAACTGTGGCTCCCAGAACTGTGACAAGAGGAGCTGAAATTTGAACACTGGTTATTATGAGTCACAGCTCCATGCTCCACCTTGTTATGCTACATATTTTTTCCTTACATTCACTGTGTCCATTTCCCAATTTTTCAAAGGTGATATGTATTTAATCTGGCTCCCTATCTAATTGAACACTAGGAAATGAGAATACTAAAGCCCCGAGCAAACCAGGACTAGAATCTGGGTCTTCTGATCCCCCAGTGCAAGGTTCAAGGCAGCACAGAAATGCACAAGGTGATAACGTCACATGAAAACAGAAAATCCAAACTCAGGAAGGATGAAGGGAAAGGAAACAATTTAAATGATTATTGTATAGGTGCATGCATTTAACTCTGTGCTTGGTGAAAAGCAAACAAGAGCCCCACAGGTTATAAACTCCTCATTATCTGATAGGTGAAAGCTTCCTTAGCTCTGGGAAAATACCTCTCCTGCAGAAATATCTCAAATGCATGTACTAGACAGTCCCTTTGTGGTGGCTCTGAATACATCCACCCTAGAAACGCAAGCAAATTTGAACTGAAAGTGTTGGTGAAGGACCGCAGATGATGTAAAGAACAGACTGGTCATCTTTATTACCGAGTTAATAAGCTGGCTGCCAGGTCCTGCCCTGAGTAGTCCTGAAACAGGTTTGTGGCCTCAGGCACTGTGAAGTTGGTTTCAGCTCTCCATTGCCTCTAACCTGCTTACTACCAGTGTGGGCATAAAATGCTTATGGGACCTTACCCCTGCATCTGTGCAGATGAAGTTTCTGCTCTGTTTTTCCTCCCAGACTGAATCCAGAGAACATATCGTGGCCTTCAACATGTTAAATTACCGATCTTGCAAAAACTTATGGAAATCCTGTGTCGAGCACCATACATTTTTTCAGGCAAAGAAGCTACTACCTCAGGAAAAGAATGTTCTGTCCCAGTACTGGACTCTGGGCTCTAGAAATCCCAAAAAGTGAGTATGTTGTATGAATACCCTTGCTAGACTGATAGATAAATGTGGGTGGTAGACACCCTCTGAGAAGGGAAGGGCCGCCATGGCCCGTCCAGACCCCAGGCACTGGAGCCGGAGCTGCTGGTCCATCTCAGAGCTGTGGTTGAAAGTCTACCCGGGGCAGCAATGTCTCTTTCCACACATACCCCAGTACTTCTCAAATCCCCATTTTTCCTTTCTACCTCCTCCACGCTGCTGTCCTCAGATCTCCTAAGCAGCCAGAACTGCAGCTGTTCCCTCACCACGTCACAATAAGGGAGGCATGTGGCAGTGACTCAGGCTATTGTGGCCCCCGATGTAGGGGGTTTCCTGGCCTTTTGCCACTAACTGCCTCTCCCACTGTGCAGTGATTCTAGAGATGCTCCATAATAATGAATGAGCAGAAATAAAGCTTTCTAGAGTCAGGTGATTTGGGGCTATACTCCATATAACAGTAATAATTGCAGCTGACTGACCTGTACCTGCCCTTACGTTGTCATATTTAACTCTTACCAACAATCCCATGTGTACTCTTATCCATAGGGATGGTATTCGAAATATCTAATGACCTACTCTATAAAAGAAATTAATAAATTATTAAATTTTAACTCAGATTAAAATTTATTCTCTGAATAAACTAGCCATTTTATCTTTTTGTGTATTTACTAATTCTAAGACTGCCTTCTAAAATTAAGATTACAGAAATTGTTTATAAAATCATTCTTGTAATTTGTAAATGATTTGTTGGTTTCAAAAAGTGTTTGTGATTTTGTGGTATCAAGGTGGCTGTTACCGAGTGATGCCTCTCTGAAGCATTGCCCGATAAATACTCTATTAGACTAATGCCATAACTTCTTTGTTATATTGATAATCCTTATGTAACTTTTTACTTACAGATTTTACAGATTCAATAAGTAGCAAATTTCTGTTAGCATCAAGATAATTTTTATATTGCTAAATGCTCTCAGCTTCTGAAGAATGCAGAGCAAATGTTTTTCGAAATTCTAAGCTCTTTTGATAATGTCAGTATTTTTATATACTCATTAGCTCTATTCCCAGACAAGCCATGAGCATAACACTTACCTAGAATGTAGTGTTTACTTCACTTGAACCTAATCCTTTGGACCGGCTGAGAGGTGACATAGTGAGCGATGGAGAACATGGACTCTGTTGCTGAGCAGCCTGAGTTAAACTCCTACCTCTGTCCTTTAGTTCTAATTTAATTTGATGCTTCAGTTTTCTCCTCCATAAAATGTTGCCAAGGCCTGTCAAGTTGGGGGAGAGGAGTTCTGGATATCCATTGTGGCATCATGAACTACCCCTGTTTTCGTGGCTTAAATAACCATTCTGGTACATCTCAAATTTTTTTGGGTCAGGAATCAGGAAAGGGATTAACCAGACAATTTTTTCACTTCACATGGTGCAGAGGGGGATTGTGGTGACATGCACCTGGGGGCTGACCTAGTCTGAGAGTCAAAGAGGACTTCTCTCAGATACCTCGTGCCTCGGTAGAGTGACCTGATGCTGGATCTACCTGGACCCCTTGCCCTCTCTGTGTGCTCAGGATGTCTTCATGTGGACTGTCCAGCAGCATCATTGGATTCATACACAGAGATTTAAAGGCTGGAAACAGAATCTACTTAGTTACTCTTGGTCACTGGCACTCACAGGCTAGTCCAGATTCCAGAGTCAAAAGAACTTGTAGCCACCCTAAAACTACCACTAGAGGCCACAAGGATGTCAGGGGGCAGCAGTTCTATATACTAGTACTACCTTCGACATACTGCAAATCTCAGCCCTCATTATCTCCCCTTTATAGATGAGGAAACTGAGGTAGAGAGAGCTTATGTGATTTGTCCAACCCCTAGAAATACACCTCAACATTTACGTATTGGGCCTTCTGTGTTGCTCCACATGAAAGGAACTTTTTCAGTGTTCTTCAAGCTTTTGGGACAATGGAACAATTTTTCCCAAAGAGTGCCTATTAATAACCTTCCACATGCTTGGAAACTGCTACATTTCAACCTTTGAAGCATCCAGCTTGCTGCCCTGTTCCAGTGTTGTGTTCTCCACCAGTGGTGATGGGGTTTCCATTGGAGTTTCTCTTGGCGCTGCTGCTATGAACATTTGATCAGGGCGGCAATAGCATTTCTTACTGGAAATGAATGCGGGCTGGAAATGAGAGGTGTTTCGTGTTGCTTATGTTCTTTTTTGTTCTATTTTGCTTTTGTGAATGTGTTGGTTTTAGGCTGCAAGGAAATGTGTAGTGTTGTGGTGAAACATTAAAACATAATTTAAAACTTAGAAATGCCAGACCTGAAGAATTACCCTTAAACTGGCTTCAAACTCTATCTTCTAAAATAAGTCATTTTCTGGGGTATGCAGATAGCTTAAAATTTAAATTCTCCAGGTATAAATGAAATTCAGAAGTGACCTTAGCGTGGCATGTTCAGAGAACCTGGTCTATAACTCAGGTCTGTCCTGAGATGAAATAGGGAAACAGGGCGAATTCTCTGGTCTTCTCCGAGTTGTCAGTGGTTTTCAGTGACAGCTCCTGCCAGTGGTGTGGTGAGCACCTGGAAGGGGGTTAATGTTTGCCAGTGTGAGTAAAGTGAGGACTCCTTGATGTTACTTAATCTGTTTTTCTGCATCACCCTGAAATTGTTTTTCATCTAGCCAGGCTTAGTTATACTATGGAAGCAACTTCATTGCTTGAAGGAGTAAGGACAAGAAACGATTTCACCAGAAGAAATAACCCAAGGTAAAGCCAGGACAGAAAGCTGTCTCTTTTGGCAAGGATACCTCTCTCCTCATGACCTTGAGCCATGTCATCAAGGAGTTAAACCAAGGAAGCATGTGGAGACTATTTGCTTCAGATAGCCTGTAATTTCTTTCTTGTTAAACATGTCAGTGTAGAAACTGAACCTGCATCTGGTTTTTCAGGTCTGTAAATAACCAGTATTGCAAAAAGGTGATTGGAGGGATGGTGTGGAACCCAGCCATGCGGAGATCTTTATCAGTGGAGCATTTAGAAACCAAGAGTCTACCTTCTCGATCCCCTCCTATAACTCCCAACTGGTATGTCCTCTTTTTTTTTGTACTTCCCACCAGTGAACACTTTATCTTTTTTAAAAATAAAAACTCAATAAATTCCTAAATATAGCCTACAATAAGTTTAAATTTGCCTATTTACTGCAAAAGTACCCGTTTCCATGAATTGCATAAGCCTAACTAAACATTTTCCCTAGTATATAATGCTAGGGTGTTCTTTTTTTATTATTTCCAAGTTGCTTGCTCTAAATAAAATTGGGAACTGCAGCCAGCTGAAATGTCCTCCTTGGAATTGTAGCGCACATTAGCATATTAACATCCCAACAAGTCCTTTGATAAAGAAATACCATTAATAATTACATTTAATTTCATGTTTCCTATTAACATCACATAAAATAAACTTAGGGAAAGCCTAACAAAGGTTTGTGATAGAACTGATGTAAAGGTTTGTGCATCGGGTACACAGAGGGAGGCAGGCTTTCCAGACGACACATGAAGTATGAAAAGCACTGGGTTTGTAGCTCAAAAGATTGACTCAGATTTTGACTTTTCTGTTAACAGATATCCTTACCTCTCTGATCTCAGTCTCTACGTTTATGAAAGGGCTATAAAAATCATTACAAATGAAATACATACTCGTGTTTTATAAGCTTTAAGGAAAGGGTCAGGTAAAATTACTATTGTTGTCATTTTATTATAATGTTCCCCAAAGACATCATCAGTACCTCCAAAACAGCATCATCAGCAAGAGGGGAAGCCGAGTGGCTCCATGCTGGAATAGGTCCTGGCTTTCTGCTCTTAACACGAAAGTCATGTGGCCTGTCGATCCCCAGGCAGGGATCTACTAGGACAATGGTGACTCTTAAGAAGTAGACAAGGGAGATGATGCTGTGCAGGGTCTCAGGGTATGGACCCTTCAATGGGACCAGATGCTCTGGGCAGGGATGATAGAAATTGTCACAAAATCCTAATATGCTGAGTAGATCTCTTTCTTGATTTCCACAGTTTAGGCGCCTCATCATAAAGTGGTAGATCACACTATAAAGTAGCAGCTTAATTTGTCTGACAGTCTCTTAGGCAGCGATGCCAGGACACAGAGCCGAGGCCCAGAACAGGATCCAGGGGAACAGCGGGTTTGATGTTGCCACACCGTGGCCTGGAGTTCTGGCTGCTATTTATAGGTCCTCTCCTGAGAAGTCACAAGCCTTTCTACTTTGGACACAGCTTTATTGATTATTTGGCCACAGGGAACTGTGAAGATTGCGGGCCTGGACAGTCCCAAGGAGAAATGACTAACAAAGAAAGGGAAGTTGGAAAAACTGGGTATGGTAACAGCAGGCTCAGGACTGGGATCCCCCCACAGGAGGCCATTCCAAGTGCTGCCTCAGGGGTCTGAGAACACTGCCTCATCTGATTCACTCTCAGGTGCGAGTAGCAACAGCTGAGGCCCAGAGAAGTGGTGTGACTTGTCTGAGGTCACACAGCTGCCTCTACTATTGGAAGCACAGGGTGGTGCTCTTATGTACTCATAACACCACAGATGAGATGTGTTTCAAAAAGCAAGCATTGCTCTTGGATCAAGTGAAACTCACTACAAAGCGATATAGTTGAAACAAAGTTTGAATTTTGCCAAGAAATGCACTTTGGCTTCTAAATCTTTTATTTATATTGTTCGAATTAATCAGAAAAATGGCCTGATGGGCAGTCAGTATGACTTGTTTATGTCTTGAGAGCTGGCCTCCTGGAATTATGACTCACCCTAAATCAACACTCACTGACTTCCCAAAGGGCATAAACCAGTCTTATCTGCCTCTTTATGAAGCTGAGGCCACTATTGTGGGGGCTACACCTCTGGGCTGAGTGTCAGGGACCCACATGACCTGGGTGAACTCTGGTGCAGTAATGGATGCACCGACTCTTCATTGCCAGAAAGGTCAGACATGAGGTTAGGTCACTGATGTCAGATACCATTTTTAAGTGGAATTTGTTCCCAAAGCCTCACTCTCAACCTTCTCCTACCCAGGCGAAGCCCTCGGCTCCGGCACGAGATCCGAAAGCCCCGGCACTCTTCTGCCGATAACCTTGCCAACGAAATGACATACATCACAGAGACGGAAGATGTGTTTTACACGTACAAAGGTTCCCTGTCCCCGAAAGACAGCGATTCTGAGGTTTCTCAGAACCGAAGCCTACATGGAGAGTAAGAAACTCAAGTTATTCTCTGTCTTTGTATCTGCTCATTTGGCCTATTGAGACATTTGCTCAACAGTTGCTCGGTAATTAAGGCTCATATGCCATTAAGGAGGAGTCAAGAGCTGAGAGCACCCTAGGGTGTACTCTGCTGGGATGGACATACCTTACACTCTCCCTTCCCTCACAGGAAGACAGCTTGGGTGCCTTGGGATCTGCTGCTTGTGCTTTCTTTTGTCTGTGACAAAAACCTGTTCTTCATACACTTGTTAATGCTCTTGAATAGTCTCCTCTCCAATTTGTGAGCAAAATCCAGTTAAAATATTCCAGAGGTATGGACATGTTAACTATAGTAGTATTTCTCCAGAAGTTACCACTGCAGGATTCCAGGCCACTGGAAATAGGTTTATTTCTGCTCTCAGAAAGCCGCCTCAGTACCACAGTTTTCCCTCAGGGGGTTCCTTTCTTTTTTTAATGAATAGTATAGAGAAAAAACTTACGTAAGCATTACTGACACTGTTAAATTTTTGTTATGGACAGTTTGCATTAAATTCTTGTATGTTCCAAACTTCCTTCAAGACCAGAAAAAAGTATAACTTTCCCTAAAATACTGGCATGAGTCTTTTTGTTGTTCAATAAGATATATCTAATTCTGAAGTTTTCATTTTGGCTTGGTGACCGGGGAACCCAGAGCTCGGTTGTTTCCTTCAATTGCACTTGCTTTCCTGATGATAGTCCCTGCTTTGCCTTACCAGTGGGTCTTATTTTTTTCTTATTTTAATGAGGTCACAGTTCTACCATATCTGTATATGTTAGGGTCAGCTATCTCAAACAACTATTTTGAAGTAGAAAGACAGGTCATAAATCAATAAAATGATGTTTTAAGCTAAAACATGGTAAGAATGTATCGTCTTTAGGATGTCAGCACAGTCACTGGATATCCAATTCTGTTAAATCCCATACTGTGCTCAAAATACAGAAACATAATGCAAAAGATGAGCAAGAAGGCAGTTCAGTTAACCTGTCCATTTTTACTGCTCTAGCTAGGAGGCTGAAAGCACTAAATGCATCCTGATTATACCCTAGGCTGCATGGGTGAATTGTAAGCTACACTTCTGAGGTTACTATCTCTCCTCTGTCCCTGACAACAGCAGACAGACTTTATTTGTCTTCTTAACACCTCTTCTGAAATAATCCCTCTGGTCTTTACTTCCTCGTGATCTGAACATGGATGATGGTTTTGTTGAAAGGATCACTCTCTCTCGCTCCATCTTGCTGCCCCACTGAAACCACAATGCAAGGGTGTGTGTTCCTTTGTGTGGTGCTGCGTTTACAGGTCCAGAAATACAAGGCAGGAGTGCAGGTGTGCATGACTTGAGCCAGTTTGAGTCCACAACGTGCTCTGTCACTTTGGTGAAAATTGAGGGACACACGGATCGAGGGCTCTGGGGAGTCTGGTTGCATGCCCTGTGTCAGGTCTTCCTGCTTTGGTCTGAAGAGCCATCATAGTGTGTGCAGGTCACGGCCTCCCCTGTCCAGTACAGTAGCCAGAGGTGGCTGCTCAGATTTAACCTCATCAAGATGGAATAAAATTTAAATTCAGTTCCTCAGTCACACAAGTCTCATTTCAAGTGCTCAGGAACCACATGTAGGCAGTGGCTGGTGTATTGTGAGGACAGGTGTTGGACATTTACACCAGCACAGTGCTGTTGACAGTGCTTATATACACCAAAGCCTTTATCCTTTATTTAAATGGAGTGAACCCATCCTCCCAGAATGTCTGTAATCTGAAAGGGCATGTCTCCAATGGAAATCTAGAGTGAGTAGTTTTGGGCTCCAGCTCTGCTCATCGGTGTCCCCAGGGATGACTGGGTGGCGTCTGAGGGCCCAACAGCCCAGTGCCAGGGGGAGGAGAATGAGTTCTGCCCAGTGGTGTGTCTGGGGTGTCTTAAAAGGCAGCATTTGTTGCAGGGTCCAATAGCCTTTGCTGGTCATGGAGGGAATAGCACGGCTGGTTAAGCAAGTCTTTACCTTCAAGGGCCTCCAGCCCGGCTGGGCAAATAGCACATGGTCAGCCTTCATCATCCCCCTGTCACTTTAGTAAAAGGAAAAGGTTGGGGAGACTCCCAATTACATGTCCTGGACAGCCTCCCCACTGTCACATCATGGAATTGCAGTGCATTTGGACTTTCAAAGTCTAATACAGGAGTCATTAGCCACAAGGTCACTAAAATTAAATTTAAAATTTGCTTTCTCTAAAAGTTGAATAAATAGTAAATAAATTCACTTCCTCAAGCCCTGTTTGATCTAAGTAATTTCTGGGCCTGCTCATCCCTATGCCCTGCACATGATTCCTCCAGAAACACCTCTGGGAGACCTTGTAAGATGTGTCATTCTGGGGCACTTTTTGTTTTGCAGCTCAGTGGTAAAAGTAGCAAATAATGGTAATTCAAAGATAGCCCTCCTAGACAGGGCTTTGTCAGGTGCACTGAAAATAGCCATCTCACAGAGTCAGGTTAGCAGGTGTGCTTTGCAGGTGGGGTGAACAGTTGGAAAATCCTACCACCTCCTCTGTGACATAGGGGAGGAGCCCCATTCCTGCAGGTGGGGCGCCGCCTGTTGCTGGTTCTCCAGAGGTAGCTGAGCCTCCCAGAGCAGCCCAGGCCCTCCATTGTCCAATGACAGAAGGAAAGGTTGGTCTGCACTAAGTGGGGGAAAAAAAACACTGTGGTGGTTATTTCAGTGAGTATTTGCAAATGTTTAAGAAATGTTTAAGAAATGTTTGACATGTTTTCTACAGCAGATTTGTGTTAAGAGGCAAAAAAGAAGTATTCTGTCAGAGAAATGAGATGAATAATATCACAGACAACGAGGAAGGCTCCTTTTAGAAAGAATTAAGTGTAATGTTCTGTACCCATTTAAACAAGAAGAAAGAGAAAGGAAGAAAAAGAGCCGTGAGACTTGGGCTTTCAAGCCAGAGTGCCGGAGCCGGGAGCTCTGAGCATTATCTCAGCGGATGAGTCACGCGCCCGTTCGCTCCGTATTTATAGCAGCACAGCGAAGTTGATGATTATAGTTATGAATCTTTGGCAGTTGCTTTGTGTCCAGAATGCCTGTACTCTTTTGTCAGCCCCAAGGTTCTATCAGCCAGTCTGTGCTCCTTCTCTGGCTGCAGAGAAGCAAGTTTCTTTCATGGCAAAAAAATTAAAAGCAAAACCTACAACCCCACCATCCAGAAAAAAAAAAGGAGGGAGAAAGTGACTTTGCAGAGCAGGAACTGGAGGAAAACAAATTTTAGAGCCAATTGGAGTAAGATTTGAAGAACTTTGTTGTCATTGTTGACAGGTCACCAGCTGAGACATGGGGAATTAGTGGAGCTTCTTGTTATCATAACACCTTCCCTGTTTATTTAGAGCTTGCCTGACCCAGGGCCCTGGGTCAGCTGTCACTTTGTATTGCAGATCTGTGCCCGCAACTGTGTGAATGCAGTTAATGCTACTGAGGTGTGTGCTGAAAAACAGAAAAGATGGTAAATCTGATATCATGTCCATTTTGCCAGTGTGACTTCTGAGTATTGGCGGGACTTTTGGCATCCCCTCAGTGGTGTCTGCAGTGCAGAAATCCCCTGGCCCCTTCATCCAGCCACCTTGCCAGCAGCAGAGAGCTTCCCACTATGTGGCAGCCTGTGCTGTTGTGGGACGCCCTGCATTCCCCATTGTGCAGCATGTCCTTGACCCTGACTGACACGGGCATCGCCTCCATAGGGCTCTGCCTCCAAGTGGTGTCGCCTCCCACGCTGCCTGCCAGCCCAGCTGCCCTCCTTGAAGTTAGTTGACACTGATTTCTCTGGCCACTCTGCTGTCCACCCTCTCAGTCACTTAGTGAATCCCAAGTCCTTGAGGGGCATTTTATTTCACTTAGCATCAGTATCGAGCACTTGCTGTGTGTCTTGCCCTGTGTTCAGTGTAGGGGAGGCGTAGGAGGAGGACAGGATCTCTCCTGACCTTAAGGAGCTTCTAGACTCTTCTAACTCCTTTCTGGTCACATGCCCTAAATACCTCCTCACAAGCACCAAGTTAGAGCCATGAGGCTCAGGGGCGCAAGCTTAGCAGGTTTGGAGGGAAAAGGCCTTTGTGATTTTCCAGGGTTTAGGAAAGAGAGTGGTGTTTTTGTATTTTGTGCCTTGAGTCTTCCTCTCATGGGCAATCCTGCCTTTTTTAACATTGTCAAAAATGAAGAGAAACATTTAACATCGCTTCTCTTCAGAGAAATAAGTGCTCGCATGGTTTTTGTTTCTGATGCCTCTTGCATTTACAGGTCTGAAGCATCTGTTCCGGATAACAGATACATGTGTGTCCTGCTGACAGTCTTGCTCCATTCCTTTCTCCCCGGGGAACTGAGTGGTCAGTCTGCCTGTGGCCATCCCTTCTCTGTGCTCCCGTCTCCCTCTGACAAGAGGGAGATCTGGCTCAGGGGCAGATCTCTTGCTGTGCGCCCTCCTCTGCAGGAGCGGCTTTCTCCTGCCCACCCCACCGCCTTGCTTCCCTCATCCTGTTCCTGTACTGTTTCCCCCTGAGGAATCCTGATTGCACCCACTGCTTCCCTCACCTCCCTCCTCACCCAGTCGACTATCCCTCAGTGCCACCATGCGCCCTACTAGAAGGAGGGGGATACCCACTTGGTTTGGCATCTTCGCACCCGCTATCCCTGTGTGGCATCCAGCTGCCACCCTAGCGTTGCTTCTCGTCATTTCCTGTCCTCACCATCTGTCTGGCTGCCTTGCATGCTGAGCGGAGCGTTCCTGCAGCCTACAGGGAATGTCTACACGGTCTGGCAGCCAAAACAGTGGCAGCATGTGTTTAATAAATGCCTATCTAAAAGTCACCTCTCCATCCCTACCTACAAAGTAGGGTTGGGCACAGTGTACCTTCGAACATATTATTTTTAGTGCTGTGAACTATTTCAGATACTTTATACTGAAAAAGAAAAATACATTAAAACTTTATGATACAATTCACAAATGCAAAATTTAGGAATTAAACAATGAATATAAAATGAGTATTATGGAAGTTAGTTCATGCTCTTCTTTGTCACGCTGCTCTTCAGGTTTTTGTTTTGTTTTGTTTAATTTAGTTTAAATGCCCTTCGCCCTTTCCATCACTGTCACCCTCCAGATTCTTCCAAACATTTGTGATAGTTGTAGTGTCTCCATATTGAAGGTTCAAGTCTACCCCTGGAACATTATTTCCTAAGCCCATTTGGCTTCAGTTTAATAACTGCCACTAGGAGGGAGGTGCTCTTGCAAACGTTAAAACAGCAAAGTTGACCTATTTGGGATAATTTTTTTGCTTTTTTTAAAGTTTCCTTTTAAGTAAATTAAAGTCTCATCACAGAGAGGTTGAGAGTACTGTATGGTGATTGCTGTGATGGTTAACCCCTGTGATGCTGTGAGGTTGGGGGGGTGGGGCTTGGGGGTTTCTAGGAACAGACCTGGCAAGGCCTGGAGAAGAAGAGATGCTTGGGACCCAAGTCCATCAGGCTTCTGTCCATTAAGCAAGAAGGGTGGCCAGCGGACTCCGGTGTGCCAGAGCTTTCGAGCACTTGTAACGTCTAGGGATTGTGACAACCCTGGAATGCCAAGCCTCAGCAGTCAGTCATTTTGCTCTGGGAACATATTAATTCAGTTATTAAAACTGGATTTGGGCGAGTCACTCAGCCTCTGTTGACCTCTGTTTCTTTCCTGTGAAACGGAGTTGGGCCAGCAGACCCCAGAGGTCTTTTTGATTCTAATAGTCTCTAATTTTCTAAGACAGCACTGATCTGTAATGTGGAAATGTTCCAGCATTGCACTTTCCAATGCAGGGGGCACAAACCACGTGTGGCTCTCTAGCAATTTTGAAATGTGACTGATGTGACTGAGGGATTAGCTTTCTAATCATAATTGACACTTAAGTGACCCGTGGCTGCCATATTGGGTGGTGGCAGCTCTGAGATACAGAAGGGTCTGTCTTGGAGAAAAATAAAGACTATGATCTCAGTGTGGACAATTTTTAGTAGATATCATATTTAGTAGTAGTGATCTACTAAATCACACAACATAGGAATAATATAAATTGTCCTGTATGTGCAGTCCCATTTCCTTCAGGTCACCAGTATTGGGGTGGGAGAAGACAGCTTTTGGAAAGGATGGAGGTATGTGCATGAGTGTGTTTGCTTGACAGTGTTTCAGTAATAAGACACCGGACTAGTTGTACACTCCTCACTATCACGCTTTTAAAGCATCCAGGAAAGAGACTGAGGTTTGGGCAGCTCTGTATCACCCTGCCTTCCTTCCCCCCTTCCCAAAGCTAAGGGTGATGATATTTAGGCCAGATGGGGTCAGTGGTGGCCAGCAATCTCTGGTTGTGCCAGAGCCTGGGGTTGACCTTTGAAACTCTTCTGAGGTTCCAACGACTTTTGACCATGCTCCAGTAGTCAGTAATGTTTACTCTGATAAGGTATTAATCCAGTTATTAAAATATCTCCTCCTTCCCCATGATGAAGGAGTATATCCGAGAACAATCCAGCACAAAGCTACCTGACCCAGAAGTCATCCAGTTCTGTGTCTCCATCTTCAAATGCTCCAGGCTCCTGCTCCCCAGACGGCGTTGATCAGCAGTTCTTAGAGGACTTCCACAGGGTGACCAAAGGGGGCTCCACCGAAGACTCCAGCCAATACTACTGTGACAAGGTCAGTGACTTAGGTCCTGGGGTGAAGAGGTGGCCAGGTGACCCTCATGGACAGCTCAGTAGTATGACCCAGAGAAAATAGCACCAGCCCCTGGAGAGGGAAGTAATGTAATTAACCACTTTTCCAACATTTTCCAGAATGATAATGGTGATGGCTACTTAGTCTTAATCCGTATCACGCCAGATGAAGACGGGAAATTTGGATTTAATCTTAAGGTAGGTTGTGTGTAATTATAAGGAAGTTTTAATGCTCTGGAACAACCTTTAGATGAATTTTTAATTTCCTTTGAAAATGTGGCACAAACCTAATAAAGCTGTGTAAGGAAATTGGCTCAACCTTCAGAATTGGGAGTTTTTTTTTATGGCTGTAGCATCTGCCTCATCCTGAGAGCCTGCTCTGTGCTTGGTGTTTGCTCTGCGTATAATGGTATCACTTATTGAGTTCTTCTGAGTGGGGAAGCTGGTGTTTTGTTTTTTTTCTGTTTTGTTTTAAAAGATTTATTTATTTATTTATTTATACAAGAACTGGGGGATAGGCCAGATTCGCGGGAGGGTGAGAGGATACACCAGAGACACATCAGGCAACAGAACAGGCGGACTGACAAAATACACTGCTGAGAGGAGCAGCGGGTGAGACAGGAGAGGTCTGCTGCACCATGTGGGACCCTCACTGGCCGGCCGGGATCAAACTGGCGCTGCAGAGGTTGCGGACAGCTTCACAGCACGGTGCTCAACCGCCTGCGCCACCAGGGGAGGCCCGAAGCTGGCGTTTTTAAGCCCATTTTATAGATGCATGAGTAAGGCTCAGAAATACAGGCACACAGTCGGCAAGAGACTCTATCCCTGAACTGGGGTTATTCAGAGAACCCCTCAGCATTGCTAAAACTGACAAGAAAGAAGTTTCAAGTGGCTCTGCCTTGAAAGTATGCAAAGTATGGCCCGGGGGCCTGCTCCCATTGGTTATAAATAAAGTTTTGCTGGACGCACAGCCACCCCCGTTTACTAATAAATGGTTAATGGTTGCTCTGGGGTTAGGGTGGCAGAGTCAGGGCAGCGGAACCATCTGTCCCACAAAACCGAAGTAACTCACTCTGAACCTTTGCAGAAAAAGCGTGTCCACCCCTGTGCTAGAGCATGGCAAGGGCAGGTGTCCTTGGCTGCCTACCTGCTGCCATCATGCCTTCTTGTCCCCACCCCAGAAGCCCACCCCAGCACCTGTGTTCCATGGTCAGTGGCCCTTTTCTAGGCCATTCTCCAGGAAAACTCCCTTTTCAGCAGCATTTATAAACAAGCAGCCCTTTAGGTGTCCTTTTCCTGGGGGTCTTGACATTTTTTGAAAGCTCGCTTCCTCCAGATATATCTTCCATTGATGGGATGTGGGGATAGCAGCTGAGCGGTCTCAGCCCACTAGACCAGAGGGCTCAGGAGCCTTGTGCCGAGTTCTGGCAGGGCGCTAACCCCTGGGATTAGAGCAGGCTCCACGCCCTCCCGTGCTGACAGCTCTGCCCATCATCGTTGCTATGAACTACTTGAATGAATTTTTTTTTTTCAATTTAACATGTTTCCAGGGAGGAGTGGATCAAAAGATGCCTCTCGTGGTATCAAGGATAAACCCAGAGTCGCCTGTAAGTACCCATGCTCCATGGCTCCCAGGCTTGTCTCCCGTACATCTGACACCTGTACCCCATGTGCTGTTTCTTCTTTGCCAGCAGCAAAGAATGTCTGTGTATAAACATGTGCAGATAGAAAGAAAAAGCCCTGCTTTCTAGCACCTTACCGTCCACGGCGCCCCTGCAGCTGCTGCACCAGCCTCTCCTGGGCATTGTAAACCCTTGGGCCCCCTGAACCAGAGCTGCAGTTTTGCAAGCTCCCCGGTGCTTTATGTGCATATTAAATTGTAGAAGTTCTGCTCAAAAGAGGGAAACTGAGGCACAGACTTGGCTGTTCTGCCCATGTTGGGCATGTGAGCCCTATGCCCCCTTCCCATCACTACACTCCCACCCTCATCCTCCTTCTAGGCCTCCTGGGAGATTATTTGCTTCCTTTTTTTAAAAAAAGATTTTATTTATGCATGCATGCAAGAACTGGGGTACAGGCCAAAGGTGTAGGGGGTGAGAGGATTCACCAGAGACAGAGTGGGGAACAGAACAGGCAGATTTACTGAAACACACTGCTGAGGGGAGCAGCGGGAGAGACAGGAGAGGTCTGCTGCGCCATGTGGGTAGCTCCCTGGCTGGCCGGGGATCAAACTCATGCTGCAGAGACTGCAGATAGCTTCACAGCTCTGTGCTTGACCCCTTGCACCACCAAATGGGGGAGGTCCCATTTGCTTCTTTAATGCCCCCTATGAAAGCCCCTCTTTGGGGGTTTTGTCTTAAGTATTTTCTTGCTGCTGTGGCCTCTTTGAATCGAGAAGGTTTTCACCCCTACGGTCAGTGCTCTTCTGTTGCCTTTGGTGTTAAGCTTACAAAAGCTATCTTCACTACAAGGTAGATAAATATACTCACTTTTAAGAGGAGGCATCATTTTCTAACAGCATATCTAGAAAACAAAAGATGGTCGTGGCCATAAGAGAAGGCTGGCTTCCTTAGAGAAGCAGCTCCAGTCATTGTCTTCGCCTTGCTCTGAAGTGTTTCATAATTTAGCTCTAAGCAGCCCTTCTTTACAACCCCACAACCTGCTTACCTGTCAACATAGCAGCGCTGTGAAAATAACGACAGTGATCCCTGGGCGAGGAAATGAGAGCTCGGTCTGGCTTGTCTCCGCATCTGGGCTCAGGGGCCTCAGCTTCTGCCCTTGTGTTAACGGTAACACAAGAAACTCGCTCTCCCCTCCACCCAGGCGGACACCTGCATTCCGAAGCTGAACGAAGGGGATCAAATTGTGTTAATCAACGGCCGGGATATCTCTGAACACACCCATGACCAAGTAGTGATGTTCATCAAAGCCAGCCGGGAGTCCCACACTCGGGAGCTGGCCCTGGTGATCCGGAGGAAAGGTACGAGCTGCAGGACGCTGCCTTGGCATGGCAGGGCCTGTTCTGGCCCATTCCATGGCTTTAGAAACGTGGAGCTTGTAGTCCAAGAATTTTCACATCACCTTGGGTGCCTGACTCCTTTTTTTTTTTTTTTTTTTTTTTTTCCTTTTTTCGTTTTCTCCTCCTACCCTGGATGTCTGACTTCTTACTTGAAAAACATGAAGCTCTGCCCTCATGGGGCCTGGCCTCTCCTGGCAGGTCTTCTGCAGGTAGACAGCACCCACCCACCCCTGTAGGTGGGTCCTGAGCCCTGAGCCTCCCAGTCCCAACTCAGGACCACATCTCACACCTCTCTTAGCTACCTAGCCCTGCAGACATTTGCATTTTCAGCCCCTTCTCAGAGACTCAGGCTATAGTTATTCCAGTGCAGTGAGTTTTACTGTGAAATCAGGAACTGGGATGCCTCAGTGGTTCTGAGTCTGCTCATACCACTTGAGGGACCTGGAGTAAGTTTCATATCCAGGCTGTGTTTCAGTTTCCTTAGTGAAAGCAAGGATAACAGTACTCCTAACCTCATGGGATTCTCGGGAAGATTTAATGACATACTGGAAAGCATTGCATGTGAGTAGGCATTTGAAGGATGTCCTCTGTTTTGCCACTGCTGTTGTTCTGGTTACAAAATAAACTGAGACCTCAATCTTCCTTCTAGCTTTAAAGTACTGAAGGCAAATGAGGCATGTGTCTCAAAGCCTGTGTTCTGGCCTCACACCTGTAGACACAGACCCACACTCACACCCGCCTGCCTTCTCTCTGTTCCCACTAATCCCCTCCTATCCCAGAACCATCCCGTGCTGCTCTCAGCCCCTCTATTCCTAGCCTTGCAGGGGTCTCCAGATTAGTACCCAACACCTTGTCCCCACCAAGTCCCAGCACCAAATTTAGCATGCAGTAGGCATTCAGTCGAGATAGTGGCTGGTGTCTGGGAAGCATCCTTGACATAGCTTGCCCTGTGCTAATTGCTGTACCTGCTTCCATTCTCATAATGTTCTTATAAGTATGGAGATAGTATGACTATCTCCAAGCCAGGAAAGGGGAATGCCAAGTCACAAAGTGCTTGATTAAGTCGCCCTGCTGTGTGTGACTGATGAGCCTCAAGATAACAGGGGCTGAAGGAATCTGGTGATTGCGAACTGGCATGTCCACCACATGCTGGTATAGTCCTCATGGCCCACGTGAGCACCTTCCAGGTGGGGAGTGCCATCCTCTACCTGCCTGTGGCCAGGGGCTGGCACCTGTTTGAAGTGAAGGAAGCATGTTTATAGACTATTTGGCCTAAAAAGAGCAGTACCAATGGTTTTCTGTGGCTGTGAGGCTAGAAAGTTTGCTTTAAAAGTAAATAAGTAAAAATGGTAAGTAAACACGAGCATGGGACGTCACATATATGGTAGAAGTCACAAAATAGCCAGAGAGCTCAGATACTGTAGTCAGTGAGGAGAATGTGGTCTTCGGGGCCAGACAGACGTCCACTGTGTGTATACTGTACACAGTGAATTCCCATGTGCCCGCCCTGAGAGTCTGGGTTGCTCGGACAACTTACTTGCCTCTGTCTGAGAGTCAGTTTCCTCATCTGTAAAATGGGGATAAGATAACCGAGAATTAGGGCTCAGTTCCACTATGTGCAAAAGTTGTTAGTATCCTCCTTTCCTGTGTTATCTTGAAGGCACTAGGGAGCCATTGTAGACTTTTGAATAAGGGAGTGACTCCTTTAAGAGAGGACGGGGGAAGTTCAGGGTTAATTCATTTCCATTTGGGGAGATTGGAAAAGGTTATAACAGCACTTTTTTTTTTTTTCACTTCAAATACATTTCCCTTTTATTAAAGTTCAAATCACCATTATATGGTTCGGAGCTCTAAAGGAAAACGTGTTGAATAAGGTAATATGTTATCTTCAGCATTTCCAGGTGAATGTTTACATCAGGTAGCAGTATGAAGAAGTTCTTGGGAAGCCCATTCCCCCCTGGAGTGTTTCCTGCCTCATTCAGGGCTGCAGCGAGAGGGCACCCAAGATTTGTTTTTCCCTGGGCTGAGTCTGATATGAAGGGGCATCTGTACTGAAGAAGTGGGACTGAAGTATAGACGGGGTGTTAGGACTAGAGATATTTACTAGGGAGCCCCTCATGTGAACACAGCCTTGGGTTAAAGATTGGGCTCTGTGGGATGGTGGTGTTCCTGGGACCCAGCCAGTGCCTGGGGAAATGCCTGCTTGAAGGGGGCAGCAAATGGACAGGACCTGAGAAGGAGGGAGGGTAGCAGGGGAACTCAGTCAGAGAAAGCAAAGGGAGAAGACAGGTTTTCTTTAAAAACATTCTTTCCCTTTTTCTTACCTTTGGCAAAAGCCTCTGAGTACTAACACTATCATTTAAAACTAACCAGAAAGATTAGCGTGTCATTTTTTATAATTAGCACATATTGAATCATTCAACAAGAAGTAGTGTCTTTGGTGAAAATGATTCCCATGTGCTTAATCATTTAATAAGATGTTTGAAACCATCTGCATTCAGGTAGCATAAGTGTAATTGTTTGAGGGGAACCCATCAGCCCGCGTGCTGCTCCACAAGCTCTTTTCTCCTCCACCACAGCTGTCCACTCATTCACTGAGATCAAATCTGAAGATGAACTCAACCAGCTTTTCCCAGAGGCCATTTTCCCCGTGTGTCCGGAGGGCGGGGACACTTTGGAGGGTTCCATGGAACAGCTAAAGAAGGGTCTGGAAAGTGGGACGGTGCTGATCCAGTTTGAGGTAAGAGACTCCGAGGGCCAACCCCCCAGCCTGGGCCACCTCCATGGGTGGCTGCTCCCTCACTGCTGAATCTCCTGAGCCCCTGGCCAGGAGAAAATGATTCCCATGTGCTTAATCATTTAATAAGATGTTTGAAACCATCTGCATTCAGGTAGCATAAGTGTAATTGTTTGAGGGGAACCCATCAGCCCGCGTGCTGAGCTCAGGTTTGCAGCTCCGCAGCACCGACCTGGAAAGCCACATGTGCTTGGGGACTACGGCCCATGGCTGAACTCTGCATCACCCCTGATTCTAGTGATGCTCCGTAGTCATGGAGAAACGTGTCAGAGATCCAGGAGGAGGGGCTTTGAGCACATTTAGCTGCCAACACAGAAGCTTGAAATGCTCAGCAATACAAGGTAGTGCGTGAGTGCCTGGGGGTGATGAAGGGGCAGGTCCCCAACCCCTCCTGACACTGTACTCTTGAGCAGGTATTGAGACCCCATGAGAGTATGGTATTTGGCCTCCCCAAGTCTCTCAGAAACATGTGAGCATAAGTAGAAAACAGTCAGACCCCATCTTTTTCCCCCAGGAGGGACGGCTATCTATAGAGTAAGACTGTTGACAAGGCACCCGCAGAGATTTTTCATAAAACTAAAGAGCACCAAAGGAGACTGGGTTTTTAAGTCCGTTTTACTGACTGCTAATAGAATTGAAAATAGGACATGTTTATCTTTCAAATTTATTGAAAGGTAAGAGAAAGCAGAATAGCGCATGCAATAACACGTAATAGAAGAGCCCAGAAAGCAGAAAATAGGCCAATAAAAAAAATAGATGATGTTTAATGACAATATACACTGTCTGATACAGTCAGAGTTTCAGGTCCTATTCAAAGCAGAAATCAGCAGCGCATTGCTTTATCAGGAAACTATAAAGGAAAAACAGACACAGAAGCAAATTAGGAAGTTTGTCAAATGTATATGGACCACAGAATTGATTCAAGAAAGCATGAATAATATTACGAAACAAGGAATGCAAAGCAAAAAGCCTTGAATGGAAGGAAGGTTCATTTTATAATTGTGTAAGGAAGATAATGTAATAAAATATTTGAACAATGTATATAGAACAACAGTTGAAAGTAAAAACCCACAAGTGAAAGGTAAAGATAATTGAGCCCCAGAAATCAATAGGGAACTTTAAGTTTTTAATTCATAGCCTTACCAGATGATATAGATAAGTTCATATATGGTAGAAATGAAATTAGCATAAGAAGACAGGAATAATAAACTCATTCAGTAGAGTTGCTAGAGATATACTGAATACCTACAAAGAGAATTAGCCCTATTTTCCTACAGGAGGCCATGTGGGCTTTAAGTTTGTTTAAAAAAAGAAAAAAGGAAAATGTACAGATTATGTTTTCTGGTCTTGCCTCCCCAAAAGTTCAAAATTGAAACGCAATTATTTTTAAACTTTGTCCAAAATAATTGAAACAAGGAGAACTTGAAAACCAGTTATAGACTGTTAGTTTTATTCTGTTTTTGGTATTGGAGGGGGCATGAAAGAGGGAAGGATCTGTGGAGTCACTCACTCATTCATTCATTCATTGAGTATTAGGTGCTTACCATGTGCTAAATGCTGGATCAGGAACACAATGAGGGGAGGAAGAGGAGGACTTATGGCCCCAAGGAGCTAATAGTGTAACCTTGGTTTATTTTGGGAAAGTATCATGAGTCCCAGAAACAGCTACAGGCCAAGATAGAACAGGATTTTTGTTTGTTCTGTCTCACTGGAGGTGAGATGTTTTCAGGAGGGTCTCTGGAGTGAGAAGTAGGATACAGAAGAGGGATGAGACTAAGTGTAGAGGGGAGGGTATTTTAGGAAGGCCAAAACCTGAATGTAGACCAAGCTCCTGGGATGTCAGAGAGACAGCTAAGGGACCAGGCTCAGGCCCACCTGGGGTGGGCAGCACCCCATGGAGTCCTGGGGGCCTTCTCCAGGTGATGCAAGTCCTTCAACCCAGTGAGAACCTTTGCTCTTTGAGTCGACTGTCCACAAGGAGGCACTGTGGGCTCTCAGGAAAAGATCAAGCCCATCTCAGTTCTCCAGAAAGTCCCCTTTACTCAAGTGGCTCCACTTTTATATTGTACATATGGGGCTTCCTCATAGATTTCCCTTGAACAGTGTTCACTGAACTTTATTATGTTCAAAAAATGCTTGAGAGAGATGTACTCCCCTACCCCCTTAGTAGTTTCTAAAGGGTGACAGAGACCCCCTATTGGATATCCCCTGAGGAGTTTGTTAAATTGTGCCCAGTCCACACCTTCTGCAGTGGGGCCTACATTTGACTCTTTTAACACATTCACCAGGAGGCTTGATGCCCACGCTAATCCAGAGGAGAAGGTGAAGGTCTGCTGAACCATTGTCCAGAGACTGCCCATCCTCACTGTCTTACCTCTTGAGCCTAAAGTTAGACAGTTGTGTGAGAAATGGAGAATATACAGAGTTTAGGGTTAAATATTAGGATGTTCATGTTTCTTTCCTCTTGCCTATACATTGCCTAGAAAATAAGTAGGAAACCCCTCATTTTAAGCAGTGTCTTTGCAGAATTACAAACTGCAGAAGATAATAGCAGAGCTGCTCTGTGTTGGAGCTAGTGAAGTAGGTGGAGCCTCAGCTCTTGGGTTTCCCCAAGCCGCCTCCCTGAGATCCCGAGACTATGAAACGTATTTTAACCATAGAACTGGTAAAGGAGAGGAATACTAAAGAAAGCCAGAAGAGATGGGAAACTAATGTAAAGGGGGACCTTTGATGAGCACCTACTATGTGCTAAGGACTGCATGTGCTTCATCTCCCAGACTCTCACAGGAACCCTCATGGGTGTGTCTTTGACACCTTTGTATAGATGAGGGACAGCCCTAGAGCAGATATCTTCAAACTGGATTGGGACCCAGGCAGGCTTACTCAAAAGCTTGTTTTTTTTTAAAACACTACCTAACCTTAGGAAACAACAAAATGCTGTTTACATGTGAGGGTTACTGTGAGAGTAGTACAGCATCCATGTGGAAAGATCTGAGTGGCTCTGTGGCCTCCCGGAGCCAGAGACTTTAAATCCTGGCTCTACTCACTTCCTGTGTGACCTCAGGCACGTCCCTTAAATTCTATCAACTCTACTTCCCCATCTATAAATTGGGTGTCTCCAGGGATGGCTGAGTTAGATGAGATAAATGCTTAATGCTTTGTCTGGCACATGGTAAGAGAGCCATAAAAAGGAAGTATTATTATTTTAAGTAAAGGCTTCAGGACTCTAAAGAACGTGCCCAGTCTCCACACAAGAAGTCATTGTGTCGCACTGGGTGGAGAACCCAGGGCCCTCTGACTCCAAAGTCTTGGCTGTCGGATTCTCCACTCCTCCAGTGCCTTTGGCAGGTGGATGACTTGGCTGGTGGAGTATGTGCTCTGGACAGGAGCAGGAAGGAGGGCCTGTTCACCCACAGGTACCTGCTCCACCACACAGAGGGCCTGCCGTGAGGTAGCTAGGCCTTGGGGGCGGTGAGTGGGGGGAATCCTCTCTCAGGTGGTTTCCAGCAAGCTTGCTCCGAAACATTTTTTCATTCAGGGAATTCCCCTGTCCCTCCTAAGGCTTCCAGTAAACAGTTACAAATGTGTTCCAGAAGGCATTTGGTCCCAGCTTTAATAAAATCACACTTAATAATAATTAGCATTTCTATAGCACTTTGGAATCTACCAAGTGTTTCACAGTATGTCATCTCAGTTGACTCAACAGTTCTGTAAAATAGATATGGCCAAGATTTTTAGCATCACTCTTTCACAGCTGGAGAAAATAAGGCTCAGAGGCTGGGTTTTGTTTATTTATTTGGGTTTTGTTTTTTTGTTTTTCTTTCATAAAACTAACTAGTTTTCTAAGCTTGTTTCCCTATCACTGTCCCCATCTCTGATTCCCTAGGGCCAGACTTCATGTCTCTGCACCCAGGGCTCCTGACCATCTCACACCTTTCTGCCCAGGAATAACCAAGCCAAAATGTAGTTCTTGTAGTTCCAATGTGCGGTTCTTGTCTCAAATTCGGGCCAATATAAGAAAGTCTGAACTCATCCCCGCCTCCAGAAAGGCATCCCTGTTTCCAGCACATCACTTCCACCCCATCTTCTCAGTGTTTTCATACCCAGTGTGCTGAGCAGCTTCAAGGTCTGAACAAAAGTCTATGAGTTGAACTCAAAAACTGACTCTTAACACTTCCAGAAACTAAGTGTGTGAACAGGACTGACACATTTCAATGGACCTAGGATTCAAAGGCAGCCTTCCCCAGGCAGATATAAACACCTCTGTGGGCAGATCTTCTGAAGATCCCTAGCCCCCCAAATTTTTAACTTTGATTGTTTGCCCAGTTTTTATGAAATTTTTACTTTTTTTCACAAATAGATATCTTTTGTCTTAGTTCAGATTGTAATAATTCAGATTGTAATAATTCAAGTAACTCAGAAATAGCCAGAGTCAAATAAACAGGCTCCTGACTGCTTTCCCCGTTAGCATCTGTATTATGACTGACAAATAACAATTAGTGCGTAGCTGGCCATGCTTTTCCTGTGCTTGTGCAAACATATTTTGTACACACATACGTCTCTGTAAGTGCACACTTGTATCATCATGTATATATTGTGTGTGTGTGTGTGCGCATGTGCTTTGTACAGATAGGATCACACTGTGTATGTTTGTTATTCTGCGACTTGCACTTTTCCCTGAAAAACAGATGAATGATGTGTCCAAATCGGTACTTTTAGTTTATCTTGCACATGATTTGGTGCTGTACCTTCATCATAATTTAAGTCAACACCTCTGACTGGGGAATACTCAGGCAGTTTTCAGCTTTCTGTTAATAAAATATATTTTGCTACAGATAGATTTCTTTCATATATTTCTATCAGATAAATCCCATGATGTGCACAAACATTTTTAAATACTGCTATATACGTTTTAAAATTTCATTTTACTACTTTGCAACCCTATCAACAGAATCTACTGCTGACATGCATTTATATACTTGTTTTAAGTAAAGGCTTTTGCTAGAACTATTCCCTTTTTTGCTAGACCATCTCAAGTTGATTACATTTGCATTTCTATTTGAAAATCTTTTTACCTCCAGGTTAACTTTACTGACTATATTCACTTAATTGCAGTTCACCTCTATGCATGTACTTGAAACTGAAATATCATTTAGGGAAATTTGACTGAATCAGAAATCCTCCTTACAGAATCAGTCCAAAACCTCTCATAAGTTATTTCCATAATGAACTCCATTAAATTTTACAGACATTTGACAGATTGTTCAGTGGCTACTTGATTGTTTTGAACTGAAATTATAAAGGTGATCTGTAACTGAACTTGGGGAGAGTTAAAATTCTAGGCATTTAGTAAATGTATGAGATATGATACAATTAGTGTTACTAAAAATTTCTATGCTAATATACTCCTTGTGATTTCTATGCAAGTTGTTTAATTTTAAAAAGACCAGATAAGAGAAGAACAGACCAACGGAGGGCAGTTTACAAAACAAATAATTTGCAAAATTACAGAGGGAAAAGAATGTTCAGCCTCCCTGTTCAAATTGCAAAGACATTGTAGTTGGTGATGTTTGCCACAATGTGGTGAATTAAACATTCTTATACACCCCTAGGGCAACATGGTTATAAGCTCAAAGTCCTACAAATAAATTTTAATGCAACAATTATGTTCTGAGGAATTTATATGAGTACAGAAGTTGAAAACAGCCTGATAAAAATGTAGAGTAAAATTTAAAACTATGAAAAACCACAGATTATTGAACCAGTTAAAAATCACATATAGAGAATGGTACAGGGAATTAGGCACTATAAGTAAGTAGGAAAAAACTGGCTTCCAATTATGGTATTTCCCAGAACACTTTTTGTGAGATCTGAGAACCTTGGCCAAATTAGCTGGAGAAACACTAAGCTAGTTAGAATTAAACAAGCATATGTCCAGCAGGACTTGTCTTCTTAGAGGTTCATAGAATATCAGAACGTTTGTACTATTTCCCAGATCTCTTTGAACTTGAAAATTCTTTTACAGTCTAAGGAATACCTGTTAACTTCTCTCAGTATGGTTGGGTTTCACATAATCTACTATGGGAAGAGCTAATATATAGTTAAATCTCATCTTTTATTTTTAAATGGCATGTCTTTATTATATGTTTTGCCATATATGCTTATGTTTCTTTGGGTGCATGGATGTATAGAAAAATAAGCTAGAGAAAATATGAAAAGGATCCTCTCAGGGCTATGAAATTACTGGTCTTTTTTTTTTTTTTTTTTTTTTTTTTTTTTATGAATTTCCCAAATTTCCTGCAAAAGGAAAAAAGATCACTTGGTAATACTGAAAAAATTGTGTCATTTTTAACCTCCCATAAAGTTGGTAAAAACATCTGATTGATAATGTTTGTCTCTCTCCTTCAAAGTGGGGGACGGTGATGTGTAGCAAAGAAATCTCAGTGGGGCAGGGGGAACTTAATGGGGGTGGATGTGTCTGTGTCCTTCATGATGGTGATGGTCCTGTGGGTATGGACTTAGGAACCGTTCTATACATGTTAGTCAGAGCTCCATAAAGTACTCCCCAAGCCTTGGAGTCAGATTTGAGTTCAGTATCTAGTTTGCAATCTTAAGCAAAGCATTTAATCTCTGCCTCCTGCTTGCAAAATAAGGAAACTCCTACTACCTCTCACAGAGCTGTTGTCAAAATCACATCAGATACCATAGCAAAGTATCTGCCGTGTGCTTATTACGAACGCGCAAAAATTGCTTTCATTGAATTTTTTGCTAGTGATCGCATATACAGGAAAATAAGCCTTTAAATGAAGCTTACTATTTATCAGAATAAATGTTTTTACAGTGGAAATATACTTCTGAGCTAATGAATGAAATGTTCTCATTCTTGAACAAATAAGGTTCACTCCACTGAATTGGAGGGAAATGTTTTTAGACTAATTTAGGTGACTCCATTTAATTTTGAGTCAGAATTCTTTTTTTTCCCCCTACTTGCTTTCAGCATTTGTCACGTAATTGTCACAAAGACAAGGTTTTACTTAACCATATTCCATTATGTGTGACTCAGACCCCTTCCTATGACTGTTTTTTCTCCCAAAGATCTTCTTGTTTATATAAAAAAAAATTTTGACGAATTTAGTTTCTCATGTAATTGTAAAGCTGCTTCTTGGGGAATGTTTTCTTACATAATATAGTCACTTTTAAATGTTAAGATCTGGGTGCTCTAGCTGGTAAACTTTACTGCTGAAGTATACGTTCACACTCCCTTCGTGACTGATTTCTTAGCAATGTTTTTTTGTTTTTGTTTTTACTTTTCTGTCATATAGCAACTCTACAGAAAGAAGCCTGGTTTGGCCATCACGTTTGCAAAACTGCCTCAAAATTTGGACAAAAACCGATATAAAGATGTGCTGCCTTGTGAGTATCCGGTGTGACTGCCTCCTTCCCCCACACGCACACTGAAATAATGTTTCCCTTTTTAAAACAGATTGTCTGGTATTCTGGAACGATTTTCAGTGTGTCTGTAAACACCACTGTCTTTATTGCAGCCATTTCAGACTCCAAACAGTTGGGGAATAGTGTTTATGCTAATGAGGTGGGAGCTGCAGATGGGGCTGGGAACTGAACTCTTGTTTACTTGGTATGATAAAAATAACGCTCAGAATAATTGGTAAATTTTTCTCTCCCCCACAGATGATACCACCCGGGTATTATTGCAGGGAAATGAAGATTATATTAATGCCAGTTACGTGAACGTAAGTTAGGAATCTGGATAATAAGAAAGGTCACATTAATCATTATAACAAGCGTGATAACGGCACACAGGGTGCTTTGCGGTTGCCAAAGTGCCTTCCTGTTCATTCCCTTGTTTCAGCACCACAGCAGGCATTGAGGGCGGCAGAACAGGCTCAGCTTACAGAGAGAGGACTTCACATGTACTGAGGTTCAGAACAATTAAATAATTTCAAAGTCTCAGAACTAACAGGAGGTGGGACAAAAACTCAGATTCCTTGTCTCCTACTCCAGCCTCCACATGCCTTCTGCCCTTAGCTACTGACTTTTAGGTGTTTTTTTGCCAGTGGTTATATTTGTAATATTCTGTATTCCCCCATGCCCCTATATTACTAGTGTACATCCTGCCAAAAAATAAAACCTCTGCTTTATATATACCCCCAAAAAGAAAAGGTAAAGGTTTCATATATTGTGGGAAAAGTATTTATTCTCACCCTGAAAATATGTCTTGGGCAACTTAATAGACTCAGCTCCTTCATCTGCACCACGGGTCAGCACATTTTCTCTGTAAAGGACCAGAGAACACATATTTTTGTCTTTGAAAGCCAAGGGCAAAACTGAGGCTATTGCTTAGGTATTTCTATGACTATTTAAAATACAGCTTTGTAACTCACACCACTCAACAAAAACAAAATAAACAATCCAGTCAAGAATGGGCAGAAGAACTTAAAAGACATTTCTCCAAAGAGAAAATGCAAATGGCCAACAGGCATATGAAAAGTGTTCAACATCCCTTATAGTCAGGTTAATGCAAATTAAAACCACATTGAGATACCGCCTTATACCAGTGAGAATGGCACATATCAAAAAAACAAGCAATAACAAATGTTGGCGAGGATGTGGTGAAAAAGGAACTCTCCTACATTGCTGGTGGGAGTGCAAACTGGTCCAACCACTATGCAAAACTGTCTGGAGGTTCCCCCGGTCTACTAAAAATGGAGCTACCATACAATTCCTAAGGATCCACCCAAAAGACACAAAAACAGTGATTCAAAAGAACACCTGTACACCTATGTTTATTGCAGCACTATTTACAATAGGTAAAACCTGGAAACAACCCAAATGCCCAAAAATAGATGACTGGATCAAGAAGATGTGTATATATATATACACAGTGGAATATTATTCAGCAATCAAAAAAGATAAACTCATGTTATTCACAGAAAAGTGGATGGAGCTAGAAGGAGTTATGCTCAGTGAAATAAGCCAGAAGGAAAATGAAAAATATTGGATGGTTTCACTTATAGCAGGAATATAGGGGAACCAAATAAGACATCAGTGTAAAAAAAATAATAACAGTACAAAACACAGCAAAGCAAAAACAGACAATTATAAATCAGAGACATCCTGCAGGGGAGGAGGAGGGAGAGGGATCAGAGGGAGGGAGGGAGGAGCACAGGGGACTGAGGTGATGGTGCATGGGTGCACTGGTGAAGGAGACTCTGGGGACTACACCTGAGGGGGTGGGGGGAAGCAAATATTGTTTAAAAATGAACAATGATGTAAAAAATAAAAAAAACTAATATAAAAAAGAATAGAAGTCAAACCCTTTAAAATAAATGAATAAATAAATAAATAAATAAATAAATAAATAAATAAATAAATAAAATACAGCTTTGTAAACAACAACTCTTAGCCAGCAAGGCAGAAGCTGGACTTGGCCCTCAGGCCTTAGTTTGCCAATCTTTGATCTAAATGATGAAATCCAAATTTTTCTTAGGTGAAGTTCTCAAATTATAGCAAAATATCAGGAACTGCCCTCATCAATATGGCTGATCAATGAGTCCAAACTCCTGTGACCTGTGTCCCTCCTTCAGGAGTCCTGGTGTCTTGAAAGCAGTGTCAGGAAGGGTGAGGGTGTCCAGACTGCTCAGTGCAGTCTCTTTCAGTTAACTAGGGGCTGAGACCAGGTTGAACAAGCCATTAACTGAAGCATCCACTAGCCATGAATCAGGCACCTCTGTTTACCTTCGCTGCCTGAAAATGAGTGAATCACAGTGCCACTCCACAGCGCTGCAGGTCCTGAGTGTTCTTTCAAAGAAAGGGCTCAGTTCAGAAGGGAAAAGGCAAAAGAGCTGGCTGGGAGGGGGACCCCCTGGCACCCTGATACCATCTTAGCATGCCATGTTAAGATGAGTGAACTCATGGTACAGTCATCAGGAGCCACATGGAAAGCAAAGTGCAACAAAAATTGGTGATATATGCGTGTGTGATTTCTGCTTTAAATAAAAACAGATTTGGTTACAAACCCTGCCTAGTGAAAGACTCGCAGATTCCCAGTTTTGATTCTATTTGGGGTAGAGCAACGAGAGAAAAACTCTTCTGCCACCTTGTAGGCACATTTCTGTCTTTCGCCTGTTTTTTGAGTATCATCCACATGTATCTTAACTGTCTTAACCGTTACTGTGAGATACCTCTCGAGGATTTTAAAAATTACTTTCTCTTTGATTTTTCTTATGTGCTGTAAGTTGATAGATCCCACTAATGTGATGTCACTTACCAAGTAGGAGAGTTTAGGGTCCTATTGCCTGTCCCTCTGCAGCAGTAACAGATTCTAATGCCAATGCCTTCATCTCTTGCCAGATGGACATCTCTGCGGCTGACCTTGTAAACAGGTACATTGCTGCTCAGGGACCCCTGCCCCATACCTGTGCACAGTTTTGGCAGGTCATCTGGGATCAGAAGTTATCACTCATCATCATGTTAACGACTCTCACAGAGCGAGGACGGGTAAGTGACTTGATTTCCAACTCAAATATGTGCTGTGTCACATGTGCTCCAGCTAATATGAGTCTCAGGACTGGAGAGGGTCCTCAGTGTTATCTAGTCCAGCCCCTACTTGACCCATGAACGGCTGGGAGCTGCTAATGGACACTGTTGTTGGAGCTGCCAATGACAGGAGCTCGGTGCTCTTTCAGCCCACTCCCCAGTTTCCCCCAAGCTGAAAATAGTCAGACAGCCCCTCTCACTCCCAGCTCAGACCCATCATAACAAGCCCAGAACAGTTCCCCTGGCCTCACCTCACCTGTCCAAAACCCCTGCATCAGTTTTGGCGTCACCCCCCAGACAAGTGCTGGTCCTGTGACCAGCAATATGGGTGCCAGGTTCTCAGTAGTGCTGAAAAGTAGAAGAAATTCCAGTCTCTGCTTGTTAAAGCAAAATCTGATGCACAGATGGGTAAGACGTACTTTAGGAGAGCAGTGGACTCGATACTGTACTTGGCCAGATGTGTGTTTTCATCAGGACAGATCATTGATTATTTAACAGAAGTCAGTATGCAGGGCACCTCTGTACCCAGAATTCTCTAACCTCTGCACTCATATTGATGTCTTTGTTGTAAAATGTTTGCTTCTAAACACATTCCAAAATCAAACACAAGTTAATGTTGATACTGTGTGCGGCTTCCGCCCAGCCTTTCTGGCCTCGCTTGGGTATGTGGTTGACAACGCCAGGATTATAATGTACCCTCTTACCTAAAACAGCAAGTAGAAATTCCTGCTAGTTCTAAGAGCCCCGTGGTTTGCAAAGGGCTTTTACTTGTATTGTCCCAGGCTGATGACGCCTCACCTCTGCCACAACATTTCCAGGGTCCATCTTGTGGATGTTCAGCTCTGACTTTTAAATTCTCCCTCATAATAAGTTGAAATCCACATCTCTTTGAACCCCCACCCCACCTTCTCCTACCACATGAAAGATATAAGTTACCTCTCTTTTCTGTGCAGTCCCCTTTCAAATAGCAGAAAATGATCTTGGAATTGCAAAAGGCTGCAGATTCAATTTCCATTAAGTGGTGGTCAGCAGAAATTGTCTGGACTTTGTCTCGATGTGACAGTTTTCCCCATTTTGTACTCATGTCCTTGACTCTTAAAACCTATATATTGCATGCTGCTCAGGGACATCAGAGCAGTTTACTTATTAACCTCTCTGACACTGAGCTTTCTTGCATATAAAATGGAGATAAAATAATGCCCACCTTGGAGGGGTTTGGGAAGACACAGGAAGCTGAGAAGACTACATGTTGCAAGTGTCCAGCAAATGTTTGCTGGTGGGGTGGGGTAGGGTGGGTTTCATTCATGATCGTCATCACTGGGTGGCTCCTGTCATCAGATCAGGGGGTTCTCTGGGGCTCTCCAGGCTTTCTTCAGTCATTTGTGGTAACTCTTGGCGCTTGTCACTCAGAAGTTCTTTTCTTCACTGTTGAAAATGTAAAGGTCCTAGGAGGCAGTAGAAGCCTTCTAAAATGGTATGAGTCAGAAGCCTAAGGACGCTCTTTGAAGGGCAGTTGTTAGTGCTCCCACCCCAGGCTGTTTCTCCACCTCGTCTGCCCAGCTACCACGGAGATCATCAGACACTTTGCTAAAATCACAAGGCAGTGGTTCTGTGGTATCATCTGGTGTCCTGTCTGGAAGCCTTGTTTTGGCCTACTTTTATTTTTGTTTACATTTCATTTTAATTTTTGTGATTTCCTAGTTATGTTTTGAAAAGGCTATGAAGTGACTGGCACCTTTTTTGAACCAGTCTTGTGGGATTGTGAGGGAAGTGAATGAGTTAATGCAGGTTGCCTTTTCAGAGGAATGTGTGGCACATGGTAAATACTCTATAAATCAGTGTTAGCTGGCAGTAGTGGTTGTAATTTGGGTACCACCTTAGCAATTATTGCGGGAACTGTACTACTTATTATTTTTTTAAGTGATTCTTTTTTGCTTTAGTAAATGTCCTTTAAAAGCTATACCATAAATGGAATTCCATTATCAGTTGCCGTAAGTAGAAGACATATGTAAAGACAAAAAGACCAACAATGTCATTAAATTCTAAATATTTTTGCCTCGCAGGCTATGAGCCCAAGGTCTGCTTGGCCACTCACACTCTCATAAAAAGAGAGTTAAAGTGTTTAGAAGATAACGTTAAAGCTGTCCTAGACCCAAATTAAGACTTTCCATGGCACACACACACAAAAATTCTTCCCCACCACGTGATTCTGTCTTGATTAATGCAGACTCAATCTCCTAATCTCCCTCCAGTCATGCCACCCTTTGCCAGCCTTCACGGGCCATTTGGCATTTTATGACAGACATTAAGTTTATTGCTGTGTCCTTTCTAAGATATACCAGTCTCCCCATTTGAAAGCTGTGCTGTATTGGCCTATCCTGTTACTTCTGGGTGCCCAAATGTTTCAGGTTTTCACAGAACCTCTTCATGGAGGTGCTCTCTCCTGCCTCATAAGGTTGTTGAGTTCATGGTATGCTTTATTGGAGATGATCCCTGAACCCACTCATGCCAGCGGGCCCCATCTCTTTGCTGCCCTTTCTTCTCCCCTTTAGAGCTGGCGCTCCTTCCCAGCTGTAAGGTCATTCTTCTCTGCAGAGAAATGAGACACTCCAGCAGGCCTGGTTACTGACAGATGATCTGCCCTGGCTAACACCCCTTTCTTTCCCTTGTTCAAACTAAACAGAAAAGGCCCTTTCTTCCCTCCAACAGGCCCCAGCTTCCTCCAACTACTCTTATAGGTCCTGCCTGCCCTGCCCTGCTCTGCCCTGATTATGTCCCTATCCTCTTATGTGGGTGTCCAGTCTGAACCTGAGTTCTGGTGAGGCCTCCCTGTGACCTGGAGGGTTTCTTTGTTTCCCAGCCTGTCCTTCCTAATTGAACCTATTCCAGCTGGTTCCATCAGATTCCTGCCTAGAGATTCCTGTCTCCAGAAGTCATGGCATTTTCTTCACTATCTCTGACCCTAAGAACTTACTGCTCTTATTTATCATTGTTAAGAAACCCACTCTTCTAAAAGCCAGGCTGCCTAGTTCCCTCCCGCTCCTGTTACAGATGCTCAGCTGACCTGTGCCCTTATCCTGAGGTCCCTGTCTCATCTTCTTCCCCACCACCCGCTGGCTCTTGCCCATCAGGAGTCTGTCTCCAAACTGGCAGCTTTGCCCCTTACTTTTTCTGAGAGATGACATTTTCACCATGTCCCATTTTCTCCCATATTGTGCTTTTAGCCAGGCAGGACCCCTGCAGGCATGTGGCTGGCTGTGGCCAGCGCCTCTGCTGCTCCCACGTGAGCCTGCACCTGCAGGCTTCCTCCAGAGCCGGCTCACCACAGCCTGTGAGACACTCCTGCGGCAGCATCACTCTGCCTTCTCCCTGTTTTCAGTCCCACCCAAAGTGATTTTTACTGTATTCTCCCTTCAGCCTCGTGGGCGTCCTCATAGGGGGAATACAGTGCGTAGAGCCATAGCCCCTCAATTGAGAAATCATTCCCCACACCTTTCTTTTTGGGAGAAAATATTTTTTTACAGCTGCATATGCCCACTACTTGTGTGTATGATCAGACATAAGTTAATTCATTCCCTGAGGCTCAGTTTGCTCGTGTATAAAACACAGACAGCAGTAGTGCCAACCTCAGAGAGCTGCTTTGAGGCCAAGAGAAAATAATGTCCATAAAAAGTTCTGTCTAGCACTTGGCATATTCTTTACAGAAGATACTAGCTAGTAGACTACACCCAAGAGCTGGGGTCTGATATTTCTGAATCATATATAGTGTTGTCGCCCAAAGTTCCCTTATTTTAAAAAAAAAAAATCAAAAAAAGATATTAGGCTTAGGCGTCATCACTCCCCATGGTGGCAACATTAATGTGGCAATAGAAAGTCAGAGAAGTAACTTGCCCGGGATCACCCAGCTTAGCGTGACTTATTAACCAAGATGGAGCCCGGGGTTTCCACTATACCTCAAAGCATTCAGCTCCAAGTAGACCTCAAATCTAAAGTTGATCAAGGATGAAAGAGAGAATCCAGTTCTGGTCAGATTTTTCTGGACTCTCTGGAAATACAGAGACTGTGGCTCTGCCTTACCTAGACCAGTCGTTTCAGGTCAGGTCCTGTGCTGTGGGCAGGACCTTTGGGAGCTGCAGCGGAGATCTCGGCCACCTGCACAGATAAGGCAGCCCTAGGCTTGGATGTCCACCTGCCTCGGGACCTGTGGTCAGCAGCCCCGTGATGGCTAAGCCAGGACAGGACATGGGCACTCACCAGAATACCCGTGTTTAATGTTTACAAGTAAATTTTTCACTCCAGCTTTCTAGCAGCATGCCTTAATTTCAAATATTTACTGTGACATTTGAAAATAAAAATAGAAGAGCTGATTCCAGACAAATTACATGCCGTTGGTTTACACTCCCCTTCAGCTAGAAACAAATGTTATTACATAAGTTGTTGCAACTATAGGTTTGAAAAAGAATTCTTTTTGAATGAGTCAGATTTGGATAGAACTACTTGGGGTTGGAGAGCTCGGCCAGAATTTTGCTTTGAAGTCAGAGGCAGGTACTATGATAGCCAAAGAGCAGGCTTCGGGGTTTAGAGGAGAGGTTGAAAGTAGCAGGTGAGATCAGTTGGCTGCACAGAAGCCACAGCCTGAGAGCCCACTCCCATGGCAGCCCTAAGAGCCTGAGCAAGTTGCTTAATCCCACTGAGCCTGGTTTCATCTGCTACATATGATGAGAGTCAGCTCCACTCAGGTAATTCGGAAAGCGTTTAAGGACCTCAGAGATAGGCTCAAGTGCAAAGGAATGGTCATCCCACTTAGGGGATTTCTTTCGTCTGCATTTCTGTGGAATCTGTGATCACCCTTAAGTTAACGTGGCACCTGTAGTAACAGTAACAATGGCCTGACTCCCACAGTGAGCCCAGCACTGCACACCGTTGTCCCCACCTCTGTTACCACCTAGGAAGCAGGTCCTGTCCCTAGTTTTTGGACAAAGAATATAAAAATCAGAGATTAAGTAGCAGGTTCAAAGTGCTGTGGCTAACAAGCAGAGAATGAGATTCCAGCGGAGTCCTGTCTGACTCCCAAGTGTGTGCCCTTAACTGCTGTGCCCTGAGGATTCTGCTGCAAAGGGCTAAGGGGGATGATGAAGCAGGGGTGAGGTATAAGGAGGGTGTGAGAGCAGAGGCAGCCGGAGGGACTGCAGTGGGCACAATTGGGGTTAGGAGTGGCTGGGATAGAGAGGTTTCGCCTAAGTCCAGGCCCTACATCTGAAGCCTCTGCTGCTCTTCCAGCAGTTGGACCCTGGCACCGAAGAAGCTAAGTGACTCAGGCTGCAGCCGTGGTCGGGTTTTCGAGTGTAGCCTGACCCTGGCACACAGATCTCTGCCCCACTCTCCAGGAGAAGCGAGGTTCCTCTGTTCCTCTCAGAGAACATATAGAGCGGAAGGTCCTTGCCTGGGACCTAGCGTGAGTGAGAGGGCTCTGGCTCAGCGCCCCTCCTGCATGTCCACATGTAACACGTGCCACCCTGCAGCAGTGGGGAGCTCACACTCAAGTGGTTCCCTTGCAGACCAAGTGTCACCAGTACTGGCCCGATCCTCCTGACGTCGTGGAGCATGGCCCCTTTCACATCCGGTGTCAGTCAGAGGACTGCACCATCGCTTATGTGTTCCGGGAAATGCTGGTCACAAACACAGAGGTGAGTGGGGACCCCAGGAGGCCACAGTCTAGAGATAGGTGTTGGCGTCAGCATCCATGGTGGTCCCAAGAAGGCTGTGTTCTAGGTCTGCTCTGTGTTTTCAGCTGGGGAGCATTTCAGGACTGCACAGCCAGCAGGTGGAAGTGATCCAAGTGTCTGTTGATGAATGAATAGATAAGCAATGTGGTCTGTCCATACAGGGACTCTTGTCCCCCGATACATATTACCACATGGATGAACCTGAAATACCTGTGCTAAGTGAAATAGACCAGTCAAAAAAGGGAAAATATTATATAATTGTACATGTATGGAATACCTGGAGTAGCCAAGGTCATCGAGACAAGAGAATGGTACCTCTCAGGCAGGGGAGGGGAGAAGGAAGAGTTAGTGTTTACTGGGTACAGAAGTTCAGTTTGAGAAGATGAAAGGTTCTGGAAACTTTTTCCAGAGGCTGCGGGGTGGTGTGGAAAGCGCATGATTCAGGCACCCCCCACATATGGGGTGATGGTGATGTTTGCACCATTTTATGAACATGGGGAGCACCACTGAACTGTGTGACTAGTAGTGGTTAAAATGCTAAACTACACGTTACATTTGGCCCATTAAAAAAGAAGCAACCTGTGTGGTGCTAATGGCCACAGGAGTGTTGGGGAGAAGTCGCCAGGGGCAGAAATGAAGAAAGCAGTTCTGGGGAAGGTGGCCTGAGCTGAGCCCTTGAGGATGGCGCTTGGAGGAGAGTACGCACAGAGGGCAGGTGGGTCTGGGCAAGGGAGGCAGGAGGCAGGAGGCCAGGTCCCACCCTGACTCACACAGCTGCCTTGTCTCCCCAGACCGGGGAAGAGCACACTGTGACACATCTCCAGTACGTGGCGTGGCCTGACCATGGTGTCCCCGATGACTCCTCGGACTTCCTGGAATTTGTCAACTACATGAGGTCCCTCCGGGTGGACAGTAAACCCATCTTAGTTCACTGCAGGTACTGTGTCTTGTTGGGGGTCTGTGTGTGTGGTGGAGGCAGGGGTGTTTTTTTAATGCCCCCTACTCCATGGAGAAGGCCTAGAGAAAGTAGACAGACACCAGCCCTGCCCTAAATCCCACAGGGCTCTCTGCTTTCACAAAGCTGTTTACCTTAGTTCTTCACTACTCAAAAGATGTGGAGTTTTACAAAGCATAAACTTCTAAATATAGTACAGAATTTTGAAGAAAGTCCCACCCTCTTCTTCGCCCTGTCCTTGAGTCTACTGACCTTCACAGATGTGGGAAAGGCAGGGAGTGGGTTTTACACTTGAAGGTGGTTTCTTTCCGTTGGTCTTTAATTCCCTGGCCTCAGAATAAATGAGAGGTTTCTTCAGCCAGGTTGAAAGCATACCCTGAGTGCATGTTTGGTATTCTTAAAGGTCAGCAGAGGAAAGTGCTGAGTGAATGTGGGGACTGGCGAGTTCAGCTGGGCTCTGCAGAAATGTTGCTTGAACAAATCCCAAGTCTGTGTTCCTTTTCCTACTCCAGTGCTGGAATAGGTCGGACCGGGGTGTTGGTCACCATGGAAACAGCCATGTGCCTAATTGAGAGAAACCTGCCAGTGTACCCACTGGATATTGTTCGGAAGATGAGAGACCAGCGCGCCATGATGGTGCAGACATCAGTAAGTGGGAATCCAGTCATAAAAATAGTGACAGTGGCCAACACTTCTGGAGCGTGTGGTCCGGGCCAGTCCTGCACAAAAGGCCTTGCGAGTGAAGACACTGGTTCAGAATTTTAAAGTACATCTTCCTGGTAGATTATCCTAACCAGTGAAGCTCCATTTTAATGCTTTCTTCTCCCCTGTACATGTCACTAAGTTAAGTTTCTTAGGCATTTGTTAATATAGGTAGCCATTTCCTGGAGGGCAGCTTTTACAGGTGTTCCTCTTTAAAACAAAACTGTAGATCTTACCTCAACACACGGCCCTCAACCCCAGCACTGGCCCACTGCCCTCTCTCCCTCGTCCAGGCGTGTGGCCAGGGCCAAACTTCTGGGAATGGATGGACTGTCTTTGTCAAGCCCTCAATGCGTGTGTGCACTAATATCTACACCCCAAGCTGATTCCCCTAGGCTGGATTCTTCTTTCTGCTGTGTGTCCATCACACATGGTCTGCCCTTTCTGGTTAAGTAGCCCTCACTGCTTACTGTACAGAGTAGTGAGTTCACAGATATATCTCTTCTGCTATTTCCCTGGCACTTAGCACGCAGAGTACAGTAGATCCTTAAAGTTTCTTTCAACAACTCTTCATTATAAGGTTGATAAAAGCAAAAAATCTCAGCCAGTGCTAAACAAAACAGCTCTTATTTGAGGACCTGGTATCACCAGTCCTCTTTTCACTTCAAGCCCCAGCTTCCAAGAAATTCTTCACGTCGTTAAGGAGGGACTTACTGTACTTAAGAGTGACATGAAGAAAGCACCGCATGTGGGGTGTGATACAGCGTTTACAGGGCTGCTGGTGGATTTGATGGCCTTCTTTTCTTTTCCAGAGCCAGTACAAGTTTGTGTGCGAAGCCATTCTTCGAGTTTGTGAAGAAGGTTTAGTCCAAATGCTGGATCCCAGTTAAGACAACTGTGAAAACGTTCATACGTTCATTCCTCCTTCCCAAGGACATCCTCCTTCAGGACAGACCTTCTCTGGAAGCAGCAAGAGGAATCTGTAGGCGGTGGGAAAGGAATGAGCCCATTTGAACCCAGGCACTTTAAATTTCTCTAGGAAAGGTATCCTGTACATAGGAACTGTGTAGGAAACGCATGCAGTTACAGCATCACTCAGGCCCGCGTTATTCCTCCAGAGATAAAAGCAAAAGGAGTCTCAGTTCGGGGCCTGTCCTCATGCCTTCTTCCCTAGATATCACATTATTCCTGTAAACCATCCTTGGGCAGTTCAGAGGGGACGCCAGCAGTGTTGTTGACTTCCCAGAAACAAGATGGTGTGGCTATTGAGGGCTGCTTGATATTTGGTGTCTGTGTATAGGACTCTAAGGCTGAGCTTTCTGTGCTTCCAGGCGGAACTGGAACTACTAGCATTCTCCTGCCCCGATGCTAAGGACACCCTGATGAATGTACTAAGTGCAAGGTGGTGGGATTTCAGGCCAAAGGACGAGCAGAACCATCTCTGCCCTCCCTTTCTCTGTCCCACCTCCCTGCCACTTCCGATGCTTGTATTTCTGAGAATCACGTCCGAGATGCCCGCTTTCTCCCTGCATTAGTGCCCTCTTCAGGTTCACACCCAGTGCCTGGACCGGATTCGTGATGGAGGCTTGGGTGAATTTTCAGTCGAGACAGAGGGCGAGGGCTCTCGGCGTTGTGTTGTGTGTTACTTTTAGAAGCAGGTGCTTACTCTGCGCACCTCTTGCTGGACGCTCAGCACCCAAGACTGGAATCATCGACTACTGAATCTACTTCATGTATTGCTGCTACTTCAAGCTCTTACACTTGAAACCTTACGATTTTCCTGAGGAGAGATGGGATAGCCTCTAAAAATTCAGAATCTTTGGCCCTTCCGAGAAAAGATCTAGTCAGTAAACCACCACGGGAAACCCAGCTTCTGTGTGTGTGTGTGTGTGTGTGTGTGTGTGTGTGTGTCCATGGGTGAATGTTTCTCAGGATTCCTAACTTGATTCAAATTACAGTTGAGTTTATATAAAGAAAGAGTCTCTGTATAGAAGAACAAATGTGCACATTCACCATGAGTTACAATGGTCTCCATTTCATTTCAAAGGAGAGGATCAGACTATCTGAATATAAACACATTTGATGTTAATTTATTCTAAGTACACCATGATTTTGATTGTCCTGAAGAATTCTGCCTTTGTTAATACTGTGTTAAATTTTTTTAAAAATTTGTGACAGGATTGTAGCAAATTACTATTTAAGGAAAATAAATTACATAAAAATTTTAATGTGGCATTTTTAAATAGTGGTTTTTGTGTAGAAGAGGAAGTTAAGCCAGTTTTCTTAACAGGATTTATAGAAAAAGGATGCTTTCATGGTATAGTGCATCTAAGTGAAGCCATTTTGATGTTTAGCAAACTCTGGATCGACTGAGTAGTTTCCTGGTTGTGAGATGGGTAACGATCAGGAGGCCAGGTTTCTAAAGGCTCTTAATCTGCAGACCTAGCATGTTCCCTTGCATACTTCCCACTGATATCTTTTCCCCACTGATATCTTACTGCTAAATGGCAGCAGCGAGGGTAGGGGGGACTGTTATATGGTGTCGTATAGCAGATGCCAACACCCCACACTGCGAAATGGGAGACCATCGAAGCCCCAACTTTGTCAGCATAATGCCAAGCTAACAGGATGTAGCGGGAAAGTTTGGAGCAACGGGTGGAAAATTTTTCTCCTGATCACACTCAAAATAACTAGTTCAAGGCACTCCTGTTTCCTCCTCCAAATAGAAATAACATTGAGAACGTTAGGTTGACTGTGAGGATTGAATAAGATTGTGTTAATGTGACTTTTCATCAGCTGGAATCTAACTGACAGAGCTATTGATGAGTTACTTGGAAAATTAACTTATCAGAGAAAATCACTTCCCTTCTGGAGAGAACCCAACGCACAAAGGAGTACCCTATCAGTACTTATGTTCAGTCTGGACTCAGAAAATTTCATCAGCAAAGGACCAACAAAGAGGGGAAGACTGACGTAGATTTAAATGTCATCAGGATATTTGGCAAATGGCTGCCATTTGACAGAAATGTATCATCACGGTGTTTGCAGAAACTTGAGAAGTCAAATGTGTTTGGAGATGTATTTTAGTTTTTTAAAGCTAATTAAGTTTTTTAGTGGGTTTGCAGAAATGCTGCCAATATGTTACATAAATTTCTGAAAAGCTCACAGAACGTTGCAGCCAACCTCTTTCTACCATTGCGCGGACCACTTAGTTCACACCCAACAGATGTTACCCTAAACAAAATCCATGTAATACTGGGGAAGAACAAGACTGGAGGATTCTCTAAAGCATCAAAACATGTAACTACGTACTCTAGGTATTACCAATTAAATTCTGTAGCTCCAGGTTCCTGCGTCAACACCTTATATACTTAAGCAATGCTACTTAACAAGCCTTTTTTAGTCATAAGAGAAGAACTTCATCAAAACCAGAATAAATATTTTGCCTGGGCAATTTGGGTGTGAATGGAGAAGACATTTACATCCTACGTTCTGGCGCTCTCGGAAGAGCTAATTAGATAACTTAATGTGCTGACTTAAGGCGGGAGATCCCTTCTGGTGTTCCACTCCAGAACTTGCTCTTAGTGTTTTCACTTTCCAGGAAAAAAGAGATTTAGTTGAATTTAGTTGGGGGGAGAAGGGAGTGTTGGATCACAAACTTATGATGGCCTTTATATCTGTCACAGCAGTTTATCCTTAAATATGCTTTTAGAGTAGCAGAGGTGCTACTGCTGCTTTGTTGCTGATTGCTTCTTTTGGTACCTCAGAGTTTATCATTTGACAGCAAGCAACAGGCCTCCTCATCTTCCAGAGGCCACAAGGAAAGGCAGCATCAAAGGTAAAGATTGTAAGAGGCAGGACTAGGGTCTTGACCTAGACCCAGCTGCCCTCAGTTCTTCCCAGCCTTCTCCACGAAGTCTGCACCACCAGCAGGCAGAGAGGGCAGATAAGATGGCTGAGGCTCAGGCCCCTCGGCCTCTCTGGTGGCAACAGGACCTTCGGGAGCATCATCCACAAGGATACACCAGCCACAGTTATTTATGAGGATGACCAGTGTCTTGCTTTCCACAATATTTCCTCTCAGCTATCCACACATTTTCTGTTGATGGCCAAGAATCATATCCCATATTTCTGTAGAAGAAGATGGTGATGAAAGTCATCTTGGACATTTCATGATTGTTGGCGAATACTGTGTTGCTGATCTGGGCCTGAAGAAGGGTTATCGAATGGTGGTGAATGAAGGTTCCCAGGGGACGGTCTCTGTCACATTCAGCCCCATGGACTTGGACATCAGCAGAGGAGCTGGCCTCCAGGTTAGCCACACTTTTAGGATAGTCTTCTCTGGCTGGTGATTAAGTTTAGAAGTTTCAGTGTGTTGAACAGTACACTTATTTTGTCTACATATGAATGAAAAAAAATAATGCAAAAAACCCATACATAATAAAAGATACTGTTGCATGGTTAAAGAAAAAAGACACTCAGTTTTCTTATATGTTGGACCCCATGACCTCCTTTGTTCGTAAAACATTTACCTTTGTGGGAATTTGTATTCCAGAAAATCAAAATTATTCCTAAAACCCAAGCTGTAAGGCTTCTGGAGAGGTCTGTCACATTTCTGTCACTTTTCCCATGAGGCAGCCCCTCTGACACTGGCGCTGTTGAATGCCAAGGCGACCACTCCCTGGTTCTTGCCCATCGTCCTCAGCTGAGGATAGATTCGTAACGGTGGTAGAGACTGTGACCTCAGTCTGGGGAACCCAGCACATGGAGGCCGACAGCCAGGCTAAGCGCCATCGTTATGTTCTATTCGGAGCAACCAAAGGATTTGTCATAAGTCTTGCCGTTTCAAAAAGTATTTTAATTGATGAGCAATGTTCTTTCTGTTAATTTGGAATGCTTTTCATTCTGACCTGTTCTGTCAGTGACTCTACTGAAAAACAATTTGATTAACATAAAAACATTCAAGCTATGCACACTTTTGCTGTGTGTTGAAATTTTTATTCTAATGTCTGGATCTCTGGAAGTGTTTTCTAAGTTTGTTTGCCTTTTAAAAAGCAAATGTTAACTCTCTGGGAGGAAAAATGCTCTCTGCTCATCTCTGCCTTCCCTCCAGCCCGGAGCATGACCGTTCACAGTACATATCTCTGTCTTGACTTTGTGTGGCAAATTCTACATCGGAATTAGATTTGGCTGTTACAACACAGTAGCTTATACAAAGTAGAGTTTTCTTTACTCACTTTCACGCAGGGCTGTTAGGGTGGCTCCAGGATCCCCAAGATACCAGTTTCCTTCCAACTCGTTGCTCTGCTCTACCTGGGGTGCAGCTTCTGTGTGGAAGGTCATGATGGTAACCCCCTTGTAGGACACGAGAAAGGAGAAAAGCAAGACCTTTTCCCATAGGTTGTGTCATCTGGGTGTGATCCATCCCATTGACCAGAATTTAGTCACAAAGCTGTATGTGCTACAAGGGAATCTGGGAAAGGTTTTATTCTGAGAAGCCATGTGGCTAGCTATAAGTCAGGGATTCTGTTGTTTAGAAACAGGAAGGAGTGGCTTTGAGGTATAGTTAGTGGTCTCTACCTTAGCTCAAACCCTCTGCTCACTTTTCTTGCCTTGAAGACAGCCCATTCCGCCACTCCTTAAGGTAGAATCCCATTCAGTTAGCACTTGAAGCTAAAGCTAAATCACCTTTGCCATCTTGTCAACCCTGGGGGCTTCTTGTGGTCCAGGGACCTACAAACTCAAGATAAATTATCTCCTCCCAGTCCAGCCCATAAGATAGTGAAGTAGATACAGGCAGGCAGCCATTGGAAACTCATAAGAAGGAAGAACAGGAAACACTGTTTCAAGTAGTTACCAAGTCCCACACACAGGAATTTGGTGAAGTGGCCTCTGGAGATTCTCCGGACAGCCCGGTCCACCTCTGGAAGGAGCTCCACGTCCACCCACCTTCACAACTACCTCTGAGGCACTACTGCAGAGGGCAGTCTTGGGGACAACACGGTTTTGTAAACTGCTCATTCTGTTATAGGACAGGGAGAGGGGTAGCCCAAGCCCCGCAAACCTGCCTATTCTAAATGGGTTCTGCCATCCGCCGCATTAACACAAAACATATGAGACTTTAATGGGAAGGAACTTTAATAAAACTAGGAAACAATACAGGTAAGGCAAAGAGTCTAGTTTCTAAATGAAGCACCCAAAGTTACCCGTCCCCTCGTGGGTAAAAGTCCATCCATATGGGATTGGCCCAGAACAAGGCCCCAAAGCCTGCCACAAGTCTAAAGCATCTTCCTGTGGGGACCCACAGAAAAGGGTCAGAAACAACCAGACAAGCCCGGAAGGAAAAGAGCAAAATCAACATCAAGATAAAAGCTGCCATTGTCACCTCCCCATGGGTCTCACCCACGTCTGTGTCACCCAGTCCACAACCCAAAGACAAGCGCAGTTTCTTCACGTGTCTCTAGGCTCCATGCGCCTCCTCCAGGTCTCCTGGCTCCATCCTGCTTCCTTCCTTCCTCAGTCTCTTCTCCAGCTTTTCCTTTTCCTGCTTAGCTCCACCCTTCCTTGGGTGGGGCAGGGAACCTGGAACCTCCCCCTTTCCTGGGGACCACCCTGTTACAATTCCTGGGGCAGTGGGGGAAGGAGGCAGGTCCTCCTGTGTTTCTTCATGGTTCTGGAAGAACAGGCTTGTGGGGTGTTTTCCCATAGAATGCCATTAAGAACCCACAGCTCAAAGTCTGATCTAGACTGATGTTCTATGCTCTGCTCATCCCTCTTTCTGAACTTGAAGGTGCCTACATTAAAGTCACCTGAAAGAAGCTTGGGTGGAAAGCAACAACAGTAACCTGATCTTTGGAGCTATCTGGTTCGAATATTCTGGCAGAGAAGGCTTGAAAATGACTTGCTGTCCCTGCTCAAGCCTGTCACCTCCTGCTAAGGCTGTCACTTCAAGGTCATTGCCTGAATAGCTGCAGTTTAGAAAACAGAAGCAGTGGGTATTTTCTATACTTGGAGACTTTAACCAGTATTGATCACAGGCTCCGGACAGTGCCTCTCTCAAAGCAAGATCCCCTCCCATCTGCTGTAGTCTGGCTGGCTGTAGTCCAGTTTGTCTTGGTTTTATAAGACTTTGTGAAAAGCATCCAGGAGGAACAGTCATACTTTTTGTACCCTCCCACCATTTTCTCCCTTGCTGTGACTTGATGACTCTAATCTCATCACTCCACTATCTTCAACATGCATCTTCTACCTTATAGTCCAAAATGGCTGCCCCACCTCCAGCCATCACATCTATAATTCAGCCAGAAAGAGGAAAAGGGAGAAAAAAAGGATTTCTTTCCCATTAAGCATGCTTCCTTCCCTTTAAGCCTGTACAAACTGCTCTGGCTTACATACAGTTGGCTGAAATGTAACCATATGGATACACCTAGCTGCAACAAAAGTTAAAAAAGGTTGTCTTTACTCTGGGTGACACTCTACTCAGGCAAACTTCATCAGTTTTATTATTATTAAAGGTGGGGGGAATGATTATTAGGGCACAATTAGCAGCCTCCCTGCAGATTTCTTGGCTTCTGATCTACTGAAGAACTGGTTTATGAGGAGTTAGCCTGCTCAAGACCCAGCACACAGAAACAGATGCAATTATGTCATTTAAGCAAGACTGATTCCCACCCTTCCCCCCATCTTGAAATATTGCACCGTCAGCTACTGATAGGATCAGCACCAATCCATTACCTACACAAGAATAGGCTGGTATCACAAGCCTATGTTCTAGAAACCCCAGAGCCCTGTCCATTCCCCATCCCTAAATTATACAGGTCCATCTTCATCTATGGTCACTTTTATGTCCTTGGTTGGTTAATTCCTAAACCTCTGGGTTGCTCTTAGGATCAAGAACTCTCTAGAATTTCTCCAAAGGCTGACTCAGGGTTTCCAACGTTGCCCAAATCAGAGTTAGAGCCAGGGAAGAGAACCTGTCGGGGCGTGTGGCTAAGGCCCATGGTGGCAGTGAGGGTGAGCAAAGGTGGCTGTAGGCCAGAGAGATTTCAGAGGGAGAAGTATGACTTGAAGACGCATGGGTGTGCAGAGGGAGGAGCCAAGGATGGGGCCAGCTTCTAGGCTGGGCACACAACCAGGAGAATTAGGTGTGGAGAGGATGAGGAGCTTGTTCTCTGGGTCTGAAGTCTCCCTTTAGCGGCGTGTAGAAGGAACCAGTCTGAGGAGTCTCATGCAGCAATGTCGAAACAGGAAAGTGGATTCTTAAAATGGCACCCCAGTCGGCCCACAGTCTTTTGTGCCATTCTTGTTTTCATTGAAATCCAAATGATTTCTGTAATTAAATCCATCTCTGAAAATAGCCTATTTGGGGTGAATATACCGTTGTCCTAGTCTCCTCAGGCTGCAGTAACAGGCTTATACAACGACATTGATTTCTCACCTTTCTGGAGCCTGGCAAGTCCATGATCAAAGTGCCTGGGAGAGCTGCTGCCTGGCTTACAGCCTTAGGCGGTGTCTTAACGGGGAAGAGACGGAGCCCTGGGGTCTCTTTCCTCTCTTATCAGGCCAACTAGTCAAACCATGACCTCATTTAAAGCAAACCACCTCCAAAGACCCCATTCCCAGACACCAACACATCGGGAGTTAGAGGCTTCTACGTAAGAATTTTGGAGAGGACACAATTTAGTCCATAGCAACAGTTAATTTTATAGTTATTTTATCATCACAGTAATCAGAGATGCAATTTCTCTCTGTATTTTCTTCCTGACCACACCTCTATCTACCTGTAATTTCTTACCCTCACCCCCCCCACACACCCAAGACCCGTAAGCAAGACAGGCAAGAAGGTGGGTACTGCTCAGGAGGGGGCTGCATGCCAGGGCTGGGACGAGGTCTCCACCTCAGTCTTGGGACAGTGCTGTGCATGATTTTCCTCTAGCTATATTCAGTGTCATTCTCATCATGGGGATCAACCTTCCTTCTCCCCACTGGAGAATGGGGAAGGAGTGGGGGGAAATATCCTCCTTCAGGCCCCATCAGTAGCACCCTCCCAGCCCAGTCACTGAGTTGTACATCCCATCCCTCAGCCAGTCTTTTTTGTATCAAATCTGAGTTGCTCTTAATAACAGCTTGTAGGAAGTCTATTTTTGTCTTATCATCTGAAGGCCTTGGCCAGCAGTGCAGGAGCACAAAGGAGCCAAAGAGCTGAACCCAGTGACACCCCCACCTCCCACCTCCTTTCTCTTTCACTACTTAAGTAAATTGACCTCAGGCCTACCCTTCGCCACAAATTCTTTTATCATCTTTTTCTGCCTCATCTCAGGAAAAGGTCTCTTCTCTCTTCATATCGTCTTGATAGATGTTTTTAAAAAAAAAAAAGATGTTCCTGTCAGGATTCTTCGAGTAGAAATAAAAAGTGGAAAACACCCAAATGTCCATCAACGGACAAACGGATAAACAAAAGGTGGTCTTTCCATGCGTGGAATATTATTTAACCATAAAAAAGAGTGAATAAGTGATACATGCACCAACATGGGTAGACCTTGATAAGCTAAGTGAATGAAGCCAAACAGTCCTATAGTGTAGGATTCCATTTATATCCATTTCCAGAAAAGGCAAATCCATAAAAATAGTCAGAAGATCAGAAGTTGCTAGTGGAAGAGGTATGGGGAATGATATTAATGAGTGTGGGACTTATTTGGGGGAGGGGGTTGATGAAACTGTTCTGAAATTAGAGAGTGGGATGATTGTACCACATTGTGGCTGTTTTAAAACCATTCAATTGCACACGTTGAAATGGTGGCTTTTATTTATCTGAATTTAATCCCAGTTGTTTTTTAATTACTAAGATAAGAAAAGTAAAAAAGAATGCCACCAGTGCCCTGAGGGAGAGTTTAAGTTGTTCTGGAGATAGCTGCTTGCAGACATCC